TCTTCCCCGCCCCAATGAAAAGAAGGGAAAAGTTAAAAAAAAAGGTCTTAAAACAGTTTGGGCCCCACAACGGTGGGGGACACTTCTTTAAAAAGAAGGGGGAGAAAAAAGCCGCCCCCGGGGAAAAAAATTAAAAAAACACTCCCCTTCGGGGGTCCCGGGGTGGGAACCTTCCACCACCCCGGTGGTCAGGACCACCCCCCGTTCTTTTGTGGGGCACCCCCCCCCCCCCCCCGCCGCCGCGGTCGCCGCCGCCGCGGTCGCCGCCCCCGCCGTTACCGAGAGAACCGGTTCTCGCGAGTCCCTCCTGCCGCCGCGGTCCCGGTCGCGCGAGTCTCTGCCGTAGCGGCCCCGGTCCCTGTCCCTGTCGCGGCTGCCGTCCCTGCCCCCCCGCCCGCGGTCACGGCTGCGGTCGCGGCTTTGGCTGCGGCGGGAGGAGCGGCGATCGTCACGGCTCCTGTCTCCTCTGCTCGATCTCCTGTCCTTGGAGCTTGTCCACCTCGCTGTGAGAGGCGAATAATGATGTAGACGGCGTTGGCGGAGTGGTTGCGGGTTTACACGCCGGCGGCGGGGGGGGGGGGGGGGGGCTAACGGTTCGTGAATGTGTAAATAGTAGGGAGTGCTTGGTCCCTGGTGACAAGACCACACAAGGATGGCAAACATGTCGGAGTCGCTTTGTCGAGAAGACCCTAAGACGCTTATTGTTGCTGCACTGCGCCTCGGGTGTCCCGGTGAAGGGTGGAGTGTTTCATCGTATGCCGTCGATGGTATGGCGAATATTCTTGCCTTTTGAGCGACGACGGGAGACGACCCGACCGGATGCACGGGGTCGGGTGTTCGTCCAGCCATAAAACAGAAGATCATGTTTACTTTCTAAAAACTTTCAAGTGTACCGGTACTGCTCGAAAATAATAGTTTTCTCTGAAGACCTCTTGAATGTGAGGGAGAGCTCACATGTACCTATGAGGACAGCTAGGATATATGGACACGATCTGGGACGCCGTTCTGCACAGCAGGGGGTACGCGCACAGAACCGCCGTCTGCCCGGTAGTCAAAACTACTAAAAACGCCAACACGATTTACTCTTGTCTGTAGCAACCATAATATAAAAACCAATCGCGAGAGACGCATTCGGATGTCCCATCGGGCGAAGAACAGCTACTGCGTACAAACAAGTGTCGGTGCAGTGTGTCTTGAATACCTTCTCATGAGTGGGTGCGGGCTGGAGGCACATCCGGTCGGCACACACACAGCAGTAGTCTAGTCAAACCAACACAGACAATTATCATCACACCTCTGCAACATTTGGCGGACGCGGCCGAACTCGTCGGTGTAGTCCACCATCACATCTTCCTTCGGAGGAGGCTCGACCTCCATGTCCGCATCACCCGCCGCCGCCCCTCCTGTCTTCTTCCCTTCCTCGCCGCCGCTGTTTTCGTCGTCCTTGCCCGCCTTGATATCCCCCGCGGTGATTTCTCCATTCTCCGCTCCCTCCTTTTCAACGGCAGTGCCAGCAGCAGCTACTTCCCCATTACCCGGACCGATGGATGTGGCAGCAGCCGTGCCATTGCTGTTGCTGGCGCCTGCTACTGCGTTGGTGGGCTTGTCGTCATCCGCCGCAGAGACTGCCGCCGCTCCTTCCAGGTTGTTTTGAATGGGAGGCTTGTCGTCCCCATTGTTGCTGTTTGCTCCCGAATTGTCGGCAGCAGCACCCGCAGGAGGGGCTATACCGTTGCCGTTCTCGCCACTAATGGTAGCGTCGGCGGCTTTTGCCTCGGCGCTCTCCACTGCTGTGGCCACGGGCGCGGTCTCTTCGCCCTTACTCTCCTCAGCTTGTGGAGCGGCTGCTGGAGTGTCCTGATGATGGTGGAGTTTAGGACGACCGAGAGAGAGGGAGAGAGAGCGGCGGGAACCAAGAGGGTAATGGAGGTGTATCGCGACCAATTGTTGGAGGGAAATGATAGAGGGCGGCGCGACCGGATCCAAGGAAAATGTCGATGCTGCTGCATCTCGAGATACTCTAAACGCTGCTTCGATCTTCGTGGTGTAGTGGCTGCATGGGGCGGGGAGCACTTCTAAAGACGGGGTGGCCTTCGTGAATCCACCAGATGATGATCAAGACGACGATGGGTGGAATTGAGAGAACACGATCCAAGGCTCGGTGCTTACCTTAGTAATGGCGCTCCCCTTTGCCTCCTCCAATGTTACCTCCACCACAGGCTCTGGATCCTTGAGCGCCCTACCGCGTGTACGCATCTTTACCGTCCTCTCTTTGCTAACCCTCACGCTGTGGTGTGTGTGCCTCTGCCCTCTGCGGTCGGGAAAATAGGCGGAGGCGTTCCTACAGCGGGGACATGCTCCTAAATGTCCCCCCCCCATCCATGTCATGTACATGTTCATTCGCGCGCGCACCTCGGAGAGGGGGAAAGAAGATAAGATAGATGTGCTCCCAACAGGTGTGTTTGTATTGTCGGCACCTATGTAGAACCCCAATGCAATGTGAGCAACTACAGGCGGGCCAAGAGAGAAGAGAGAGAGGTGAAATGATGTTGTTGACGTGCGTATGATGCCTAATATCACCCTCTCCAATGAAAATTTGAACGCTACACGTTTCTAACAGCAGCTTGCAACATTGTCGGTGCTCTCCCCGGGTTGGTTAACTAGACGTCTGGGTGCATTGTTCTCGCGAAGATGTTCTTGATTCCAAATGTGTAGCCTCAATGACTATTTGGCGACAAACGAAGATTCGTTTTAACCCATACATACGTGACTTGAGTTCATTTTACTTTTTTTTTCCGGCTCACTCAGCAAATCGACAACCACCATATCACTATCGCAAAAAATGGATAAAAACCGCGGCAAACTATTCAATTCCGTACTAAAGATAGAGAGGGGTTTAAGGAAAAATAAACACACCCACAGAAAGACTAACCGTTCGAGATATACCCACAGTCGAACGTGATGTGGTGGATGGAATCTTTTCAGTGAGTGGAGGAAAACCGGCTGGGTGTACTGGACTTATTTCGAGTCTTTTTACGTCTACACTGATGATTTTATATCAGTGATGCCAGCTGGTGCTAAGTACAAAAACATCTGTACAGGTAACATACATTTTACAATACACCCCTTGCAGTTCTCTACTGGGTCAACGATAAAAATATCGGTGAGAATGCCTCCGTCATGTTGTGTGTCGTAAAATGTAACCTTCAAAGGGAACACTGCGCAAGCGTCTTTGACAACGTGCTGTGTTTAGATACGATTTTAGGAATATTATTGTAGGAAGAAAAACTACACACACACAGAAAAAAATCATGGAAGAGACTACTCGTTTTTCAAATATACAATTTGAATTTTACGGGCAGTTGTTTCCCGCCGTTTTTAAATCTACAAAACGACATTTATTTGATCCGTTGGGGTTTACGTATCATCATTGATGCATGAGATAAGATTAGTATACAGGGTGCATGGTAAGTAGGGCATAGCAGTCAGTTGTATCTTGCTTAACTTGTTTCGTGTTATGTTTGGTATTGGTAAACAGCAGTAAAGCACGAAGAAAGGTTTTCAAATGATATATGGATGGATGGATGGTTGGTTGGTTGGTTGGTTGGTTGGTTGGTCGACTTCCCTGTTGTTCCTCAGAACGGTTTGCCGAGATATCTTCTTGACACCATGTCGCAATCACGTTGTAGAGCATCCGTCATGAAGGGTAGCAGCGGCAGCGAGTAGCAGTTGGCATCTCCGTGTGGGGTTTGTCGGGGATATGCATCATTGCTTGATACCTGCGTACTACCAGTAGCATCATGTCATGAGTCACGCATTTCCCTCTGTAGTAGATTGCAGCAACACAACAAGACGTCTCTGTCAGTGTGATGCGTATGTTGTGCAAATACACTTCTGTGTGTTGTACACCTGACGTGTAACCACGCACCGGTTTGCCGCATCGGGAGCATTCGCACCTTACTCGCTGAGCATGCGAACAAGGATGGCCGGTATATCAGATGGACGTCGCCGTGGCATTTCTGCAGTCTGCGATTGATAAAGACGTCTGGGTCAAGCCCGCCCCAGGGCACGACACGAAGCATCCCGTGACCGGGGACGTCATGGTCTACAAACTCGAACGCAGTCTTTATGGGCTTTCACAGTCGCCAGTGCTCTGGTTCGACACCATGGGAGACGTGCTGGTGGTGATTGGATTCAGGCCCACACAGTCCGACCCCTGCGTATTTCATATAAGCGGCGACACTCTCGTCATCTTGACGCTGTATGTCGACGACATCCTCATCAGCGGAAAGGACCCCGAGCTCGTAGCTGGCCTCAAGAAAGAAATCCACGACCGCTTTGAAATGACGGACATGGGGGAAGTTAGCCTCATTCTAGGCATACAAGTCACGCGCAGCTACGAGAAAGGCACGCTGACTGTCTCGCATGGAGACTATCATGGAAAGGTTCGGCATGGAGAACTGCAACCCCGTCAGCACGCCAGGATATGGACCGGGACTCTCGACTGATCAGCCAGCGGACAAGCTCCTCGGAGCGGCAGACATCAAACTGTACCAGCCCATCACAGGCAGCCTGCTCTACCTGGCTCAATGCACCAGGTACGACCTGTGCTACGCAGTCAACCAGCTGACGAGGGCATGCAGCAAGCCTGCTCAGGTCCACATGACTGCCGCCAAGCACACGCTTCGGTACCTTCGCGGAACACCGGACTTGCCCATCGTATTCAAGCAAGGGCAATTCCGCATCGCAGCATTCACCGACCCTTCGTTCGCAGCTAACCCGGACAACAGGAAGTCTACCACAGGGTACCTGTTCTTCCTGGGAGGAGGTCTCATCAGCTTCGGAACCAAGACGCAGTCTCTCATGGCCCAATCGACCGTCGAGAGCGAACTTCAAGCCATTATCTACGCTGCCAGGGAGGCCGTGTACCTCTCCAACCTACTCATGGAGCTCAAGTTCGACATCTTCAAGTCTATCTCCATCCGCAGCGACAGCTCAGGAGCTCTCAGCCTCGCAGCCAACTCCATGTCGATTGGAATGGCTTGCGTTGGGACGTGGTGAACGTGATTCGGCGCCGCTTGATCAGCTCCCGAAGAAAGAACTGCAGCGCGATTTGCTTGGTCCTCGAGCTGAACATGGAGTTGGCTGCGAGGCTGAGAGCTCCTGAGCTGTCGCTGCGGATGGAGATAGGCTTGAAGACGTCAAAATTGAGCTCCATGAGTAGGTTGGAGAGGTACACGGTAAAACTCCCTGCTACGTATCTATCATACATACCATGCGAGAACGGCAAAACTCCCTATGCAAGCCGTCTACTCGGCGAACAGCTATTTCTGCTTGCTGTATGAACCTACTTCCATTGCTCGGGTGGTGATGCACACTCAGCAGCCAGCAAAGTTATCAGCGACCAATCATCAGCGGACAAACGCAACAACAGACGGAACCTAAAGTTTTACCTTTCCCGTGAAAGGTGTGTGTGCGAGTAGTGTAGGCAGCTATATATATGCGTATGTAGGATTTCGACTTTTTTACTCTTCGTAGTCGTTTTTCTCCACTGGGACGGCGTTTTTTCTCGCACTTTCTTCTGCATGGCACGCAGAGGACCTGTCGGTACATTACCCGTTACGTGTGGGGCTTGCGAGACACCGGTGGTGCGCGCTAGGGCCGCCTAAAGTCGCTGGGACTGGCTCTTTTTTCAGGGGTTGGGAATTCAAACCATAAAAGCCTCCTAGAACGGCACGAAAACTGAAAACAGAACTTTTTTTTACCCCGCGCCACGCGCCACTCGCCCACGTGCCCACACACCTGCTGCTGTGATTGTTGTGCACACAACCACCACACGGCAACTGGCGCATGCGTACCCACAGCGGGGATCAAGACTCTTGACGCTCATGGGAACACACCACGCGATACAAAAGTCCTCTCGCACAACTCTGGCAGCGGTAAATTTGTACATTCCAATTCCGAAAAATCGAAAAAGTCAAATATAGAAGTTTGGTACGGCAGCAGTCTACATGTATCTGTGACTGTTCTTGGGCACGTTGAGCGTCTCGTTGATCCGTTGTTGTTGGTGTATGCGTTAAAAAGTCCCACAGACCATGGGAAACACGATCACATAAAAAGAAGAGAAAGTAATCAAACGCAGTGGATTACAGCAATAGGACCTGCAGCAAACCGCTAGCCAAAACCACTCACTCGCGAACAAGGGAAAGTGACGGCGGGAGAAAACAAAATACCCCGCACATATGATGCAAATTCCAGGCAAATTATTAGTATGCAGGTTGCACGCAAGCCGGCACTACCGAACGTGATGATGACCAACCTTGCGACCGCGATGGCATTGATTGGCCATGTTCTCTTGCGTCGCCCCCGGGAGGCAAATCACCTACATCCCACAGGGAACCTTGTACATGATATGAGATTCGAAGCAGCAAGTAGCAACACACGAAGGTTCGCCGGCGCGCTGACAGGAAGAAGACAAGTTTGTGACGGCATCGGCCGCCAGCCCTTTCGCGTTAGTTTGTCAAAGTACTACTAGCAGTATAGTCAATCGTTTGTTGACCCTTGATAGTAGGTCTTGAAGCTGCACCGTTTGCTGTGTTACTTGATGGAAGGGTCGTGTCGGGGATATGCATCATATCTTGATACCTGCGTATGCATACTTAATACCAGTAGCATCATGAGTCACGCATTTCCCTCTCTAGTCGATTGCAGCAACACAACAAAACGTCTCTGTTTGTGTGATGCGTATGTTGTGTAAATACACTTTTGTGTGTTGTACACGTGTAGCCTAGGGGTGATAGGTTGAGAGCTGAGAGTTGAGGACACTTGTCCTAGATACACGGCAGTAGAAGTCGAGCAGGGAGACTCTGAGTACGTCAGAGAGACTGTCGGAATATTTTCTATGCATAAATACATCAGAGAGACGTCGGAATATTTGCGGTGAAACTTTTGGGTTTGTCCGAACAGACCCCGAAAGACCAGTGCAGCGAGTAGGTCTCGGGAGAACCAACCCTGCGTTGACGGTTTGCGTGATTTTGTTTTCTGCTTTCGAGCTGAGTCACAAGCGCGCACTCGCCCTTGTGCTCACTCCACTGAAGCACCATCGAAACCTGAACTGGGAGTCAGTCAGTAATCAAACATCTTTCTTTGCTTCTTCGTTCCGAGGCACACATCAAGTTGCACCCGCACTCGAAGTGTAACCTCTGTGTAGGCTGCCGTACAACCGCAGCCTACGAAGCGACCGCGGCACACAGCACACACCCGCTGCTGCTGCTGAGACGCTTATCGCCGAAAGGGTTATCGTGCATGCTATCGTGCATGTAGTCCCGAAAATCCTTTCCCTTGAGCGGAAATTGCACACAGCACGCGACCTCCTTTCACTCCCACTATTCTGGACCACACACACCGCAGTCATGACTACATCAGGCACCGAAGCAGTACGTTCGCATCGGCTCCGGTGTGCGTTATCTCTGCTCTCCATCGCGCAAGCGGGACCTCGGGTTGATCACATGTTGAGGGTGCTGTATGTACCCTCGCGTGGTATTTTCCGTTTGGATAGTACAGCAGTAGGCAGTAGATTGGATCTGGAAAGAAAGGACATATCTGCCCCACATCAGAGACATTGCTGCTGTACAAATGGTAGTACTGCGTGTACCCCTACGCACATTGCTCATATGCGTGCTTCTGTGGTGAACTGCCTCTTGGTCTCTCTGCTGGCCTTTACGGCGCAGGTGTTTTTCTCTTTGGCGAGGCACGCTAGCGATCGTTCGGCGCACAAAGTTATCGTACTGCTATCGTGGATGTAGTCACATCAGTGCTGCGTGCATCACTTTAGCAGTTTGTAAATTGGGGTACATTCACCCACTAGAAACGTAGTCGATTAGCTCGCACATCGCGCCTCGCTCTGGTTACTTGGCGTGCACAGCTAATTTGCAGCCTTGTGCTGTAACGTGGAAGACAATGGTAACATATTAGCCAAGGGTCCCAATGTCCCGCACACTCTACATGTTCCAACTCCGGTGCGTGTTCCAAGCGTGCTCCATGTGATTTTTGGCGAGGTTTGATCTTCTATCCTGGGCTCTTGCCAAACAGACCAGTAGAGAATGTTCTTCGAAAATACACACATCATTGCGAAACAGAGAGAATCGTCCTCGACAGACTGAGGAGATGGGACCTTGTTTGATATCACCCCCACATTATCTCCCTCGTTTTGCAAGCCTTCCTCTTGTTTGCTAGGCAAAAAGGAAGGTCTACGGGTATCCGGAAACCGACCCGTTGGCGGCCAGTCAGTTCACTTCTTCTATGGGGTGTCATCCTTGCGGTTCTGCCCCTGCTGGTTGCAACGCCTTACGTTTTGGTCCCCCCTTGAAAAGCCACCTTGACCTTGTCCTTAGAAGGCCTCTAGGGGTAACCAGAACCTGACCGGCTGGCGGCGGCGAGTCTAATGTTCTTGTTCACGTATTTCTACGCGCGGTTAACGGGTTCGCTGCGTCCGTCACGCCATCAGAAGTTCCGCAAGTTCGAACATCTGGTTTTTCGCCCCGCGCCATATCGTTCCCCCCCATGTTTGAAATTGGTGCGTAGCGGGATTTGAACGCAGGTGCTATTCCACTAACGTCAGACATCTTTGTCGACGCCAATGTGAAAAGAGGTAATCGTCCGAGACAGAAAGACGTTGGGAACATGGGGTCCTTTTTTTGAAACGCCGCCTCCTCAAGATCGCAGAAAGACTAGGCGCTTCTGAGAATTCTCAAAGGAATGGCTATGTTGAAGTCTTGATACAGGGAGCATTGAGGGAAACAAGCTAAATATGTAGGGGGAAACTGGAATTCGTGGAGTTCATTTGAGTCTTCACACTGAGAGAGACCAGAGATTTGTTGGTTTACTTTCGTAAGAAAAAACAGACACCGATGTTCTTCGGTGATTAATATTTGTAAATGCAAGCGTCACCCGTCAGTTTTGTCTGATTCCTCGTCGCTCGCGCGGGAAAGCCGCACGAACAGCTACATAAATAGTATGCAGACGAGCGGCATCAACGACAGACCATTGAACGACAGACCACTCACTGCTGTCGATACCAACGTGAGTTTTGGCCCATATGCGCAAACACCCTCGTGATGATCAACTTGCATGCAGCAGGTCATCGAGGGGCTAGACATCGAAGCCGCTATGGCGGCCCTTGACGATGAGACGATTACGTCGGACAAGGTCAAGGATCTGTTCGCCAGTCTGGGCGAGAAAGCGAAAGCCTCGTCTACTCGGGTAGCGGCTCTACCGTCGTCACAGCTAAATTGTGCAGAGCTTGAAGCTTGCAAGCAGCGACTGAAAGACAGGTTAGAGCATCTTCGTTCCACGAGAGATGTGCTTGGTGCATAGTCCGTGAACGCCGTACAGCAGACACCGAGGGCTAATTTGGTGACGCACCACTGTACAGAGTAGTAGACGTTTTTGTGCCGAGGGGGAATGGGCTCTTGGCAGGATTTATAGCCTGTGCGCTGGTTGTCGCGGAGTATGTGACCAGTCGCATGGTGTACCCTGGAGAGGTTTTAGTATGAAGTACTCCAAGTGCGTGTGGAAGGTGCGGTCCTACCGCACACCTCGGGTTTTTGTATTACAACATCGTTGTTACCCGTGCTACGGTCCAAGCGGTCTTGCTTGGATTGGGTGCTCAGATTGAGCGCGGACGCATTGCGTGAAGATGTGACTTCATATTTTTAGCTGTGATGGGCAAGCATGAGGGGAACAAGCTGCGCCCTACTCGACCGACCGCTGTTTCCGCCTGGCTCGCGTGGTAACACCAACCCATCACAGCTGAAAGCAGAGAAGCACCTCCTCACACACGTTAGTGCTCTTTGTGGTTCGACTGTTGTCGTTTGGGTTTCGGTGGGTCGAGATTGCAAATGTTCCAAGGTCACCTCCTGTTAAGCAGGCAATATGGCGTTTTCGGAGGTAGAAGTAGTGCTGTAGTGGTACAGTCCAGGACTGCTACAATATGGAGCATTAGTTTATTTCGTCTGTTACGTGGTACATGGATGTGGACCGAAATTTTCGATGTTCAGAATCATGTAGATCTACATAAGAAGCGTGAATGTGTATTTTACTGATAAAAGATCGGTTCAACCGATGACGTACCCAGTTCTGTCTGAAGTTGACTTAATTGTGTGTGTGGCGTCGTATACCGAGCGCGTAGCTTGCGAGCCTCCTGAGTAGCATGAACTTGTTAACCCAGACGTTGACACACACGCGCCACCACCTACAAAATCCGTTCGCTGACAGTGACTGCCGATTCCAATGACGTTGATACACAGCTCGATTTCGTAAGAGATCGGGTCGTGAGTACCTTCGCCACGACCAACGGTGTAGCAATAGTCTAAGTGCGTCGACTTTCACCGCCCTTGCGCTTCACACCTCAAAAACAAAAAAAAGAAGACCCTGTTGGTGGGGAGACATGTTGATCCGATCTTGCCTACCACGCCCATATCTACAATGGGCCAATCTAAGATGTTCGCCGGCGCTTTTCATGTACAGCCTGGGCTCGAAGAAAATACAATTGCATTTTGCTGCTGCATCAGGAACCTGAACTGAGGTGCAGCATTATTCGTTGGTCATCCCAACTCCAAGCTAGTGACCCCGAAAACTCGTTCCAGCGGAAGCTTCGGCGCTGGTCCTCTGTACATTCGCCCAGTCTCGCAGACCCGGCCAAGACCTAGCCTCTCGGCCAACCGAATACCTTCAATGTTTGGCCCAGGCACGTCAATAAACACAGTAGCCTTGGCGCTGGATGAATCAGCTGCAATACTTGCCGCCACCAGCTCCCGTACCAGCAGATGCGCGATCTCTGCAGAACCTGCAAACAAAGGGCCGATTCTCATGCCCTCACTGCAGGGCCGCAGCACGCCGTAGCCTTTCATCTCTCCGCCATTGTCAGTGGAGAGAGCCACACGAGCAATGTGACCCGAGTTGGTGAGCCATGCGCGAGTAAACTCTGGTCGCGGAGCCGGGACGTGTTCGTTGTCGTAGGCGACCACCAAGTCCACGTGGTCGTCCTGCGTCAAAGCTTGAACAACAAACCCATCATAAACGCCATCATCCTGTTTCGGCGCTGTTGGTGGTGGTGAAGTCGTTGGCGTATCCACGATCATAGGACCCCGGAACCGTACGGTCTGGTGGGCTAAGACAAAGCCGTGCTTCGCGTAGTTCGTTTGTTGTGCTGACACTGCGTCGAGCCCTATCGTCCGCCCTCCCAAGCGGCCCATTGCTTCCCGAAAGATGGCTGAGCCGTGGCCTCTGCCACGGAATTCTGGTACTGTAATATAGAACCCGATGAAGCCGTAGTTCTCCCCGAATCGAACAGCCGATATGGAAGCTACTGGCCTGCCACTCTCTGTCTTTGCAATGAGAAACCCGTCGCCGTCCGCTTTCAGATACGGGTTAGCATCATTGTCTCCCGGATTCCAATTCTCTTGGTGCGCCCATTCAAGCACGTTGTGCAGATCACCCTCGGTCATGACGCCTATTTTCACGCGCTCGATGGCGTGGTCAGCCGACTCCATTTCTGCCATCTCCTGCGGTGCGTGCCACCAAGTCGCTGCTGCCGGCGCTCCGAGTGTGACCAAGCCCAGCTGCCCTATGCGGACAATTGTCTGTTATTGGCGGGAAGACACATCAAGAAGGAACGGTCAATATGCAGTCTTTCTCGTAGAGCTGGTGGACAGAACCGGGTCCCAATTCAGAACGCTGAACGTAAGAACTCGACGATAAAAAGAAGACACATGAAAGAACTATAATACTTGTAGTAGCGGTGGCTAAAAACGGGTACACCCGGTGCGAACATGTCATAGTACGCGCTTTCCGCCAAGCAAGTCGGTTTCACGGCTCGCTGCCGGTCTCCCTCTTTTTGGTTGTGAGAGGACAAGAACAATAGAAACGACACATCTTATAATTAAACGAGAGTTTGTTCCGCCGGCGTTGGGTCTGCTTCCGCCGTAGGAATCGTCGAAAGTCGAGGGATGAGCGTTGATGACGTGTGTCTTTATTTCTACTATTGAGTGTGCTGACGTGGCTGTTGGTCGAACAGCCCGGCCTTTTCCGGGTAGGGAAATGAACACCGGGTACCCGCACCGGGCGTTGGCACCCTTTCGAAAGACGGTCAGGGTCGGGTGGGGGCGGTCGTCGACCAGTTGGATGGCGTCGTGCGGTCACGAGCTGCGAGCTGGGTGTTGTAGAGGTACCCGACTGTGGTCATGTTCGCACCGGGTGCACCCGTCTTTGGCCATCGCTCTGCTGCTGTAGTGTACATGTCGACAGGATACAGTAGACAGATAGATCCCTCTACGCGTGGATCGCAAACAGTTTCTACTTTCCTTTCTAAATAACGGCAAGAACATTACCATTTTCTCTCTCTACGCGTTGCTTGCATCGCTACCACCACGGAAAGAAGCAGCACAACAAGAGTGGCAAAGTGCCCACGTGGCAGGATGTCAGCATGTCGACTTGCTGTGCGGTACAAAAGCGTGAGTGAGACAAACAGGTACGACCTCTGTGGAAATCTCCTGGCTGGCCTCTTCATTCACAGCTCTGCTGTGTGAACCTGCGCTACTCCGCTTGCCTACTAACAATAGGGACAGGAGCAGCAGCCGGATTCTCAGCCCCAGCTGCTGCTTCGATGCCACACATCTCGTCCTTCCATACCCTAGACCGCGATGCGCGTGAGGGTGCAACTGTGCCGTGTGTCGGGGGTGGCTGAAACATGCAGTTTGCATGCTGTGTGGTAGATTTGCTGACGTTCATGCGCTCAATTTCTTTCTTCTCGGCAGTTGTTCCCCATACCGTTGCATCTCTAACTCAAGCGCTCCGATCTAGGATCAGACAGAACAACCATCGGCGGTGCCTACGCTCACATAAAATGAGCAAAGGGTCCAGCAGTTGGTTGATTCAGTGCTGAGGATCTACCTACAACACGCTGTGCCTGTTGAGATCTACGGAGTACACATACATGATGCACATCGCATGTGGTACGCATGTACCTGTGGCACCATTTTTTTTTCTTGCGGGAAAAACTCAATCTGGGATTGATTTCGACCTCCCGCTCAATATTAGACATTAGAATCTGTCGAACTCACCAGTCTTAAAGACCACCAGGCCGACAGGATCTGACGATGAATGCTTGCCGCATACCAGTGGTTGGCTGTTGTACTGCCCACGCTGCACACCTATGGGGTATGACCTATAAAAAAAAAACATGTACAGCAGTCGTACCCACACGAGCGCGCAAAATGCAGAGAGACTCCGCAAACAAAACTGTACCCTCCCCGGTTCAAGTTTCAATTGGCAAACCTCGGAGCCCCTCGAGAAATGTGCACATGATGACCGTGCATTGTCGTTGTGGGGATGCTCAGGAAAAGAGGGCCTCTACTGCTAGCTACGCTGCTTCAGCAGCCGTGCTCACACGGGTTTGTTCACCTCACCGCGGTGGGTAATCGCGTACATCACTCAACGAGCTCGGCTCCGCCGCCTGCCTGGACCACGACCATCATGGGGCCGAAGAGAGGTCAGCCTCACAAGTCACACGAAACTTTTTAGCTTGCTTCGCGCCTGGAACATGTTGCGTTGCACACCGAGCGGCAAATGTAAACATCAAGAGAGCAAGCTTCGTGTTAGAAAGCTTGGTTTTGATGCTAAATAAACGAACTACGTACTATATAATAGTAGTCTACAGGCAAACGCGGCCGAAATGCGGCGGAACCTCGTGGCCTCCCGTACGATGTACAGCTTGCTGCCTGTACGGTAACGGGCACACAGCTGCTGTACTAGATAGGGAGGAGTAGTGAGCCGCGGGGACTCGATACCTGCAGTAGTCTACTTGCGATGCTTTTTTCTGTGGCAGAATCAATCATTTTGAAATTGAACCGAGTCATCGAAAAATAAAAAACTACGACACTGCTGCAAGTTTTACCTACGCATAATAAGACGGACTTCCTGCGGGCTCGGAGGGCTCGCGAGATTGTGGCGTTGGTAATCCTGGCTCTCTTATGGCTCTATCAATATGGCCTTTTTTTCCCAGTTTCTACGCCCCTAGAGCTCAGTTTGCCAATTGGCGCCTGCCGGTAAAATCCTGGGCCGCGAGGGCCTCGGACGTGTGCGGCTCGATGTCGGGGCGGCATTCGCGACGCTCTCACGAGGCAGAAAGTAGCGTCTCCGAGATCTACCACGACTCACCAAGCACAGCCCGGTTTCTTAAATAACAACGACCAGGCCATTCATACCTTCGGCAAGCGGCTGAGGTGGTGCGCCTGCGCGCTGCTGGCAACACACCCTCAACGCACGCAACAACAAGCAAACCAAGTCTGTCTCCGCATGAATCGAGACAAGGCACCCGACTGCTGTATTATATTATATGGTGCGTCTCCCCGCGACGATCAGCAGGAGGGTCGTGGCCGGTGTCAGGCGCCCAACACAGCGGTTTGTAAGTACTGCTATACACAACCGCCCGAAAACAAAAAAACTGCCGTGTCTACGTCGTTGTTCCATGGTATATACGCCTGTTTTTCGTCATCACATCAGTGGCGCGGGCGCTGGTGCATTGAGAGCCCAGGAAGGGATTCGAATGTTCGAATCCGCGTTGAGAGCCGCATGCGGACGGATGCCACCAAGCGTCGAGCTAGTATGCTTTTCTTGTCAAAAACCAAAAGATCTTGTGGCTTCTGTAGAGGGTCTAGAGTAACAGGCTCCGTATTCCACCAACATACGAAATGCTAGAGTTATCTGATCCCCCCCCAAACCCTCTGGCAGCGCATGTAGCAGTACTGATGTTTTGACGAGTACTGTGGGGTTTTGCCCTCCTGATACGGCACACAAATTACTACTTCGAAGTACGTGCTGCGGTTATTGCTGGGAGATACTCGAGAAACAAATAAATTATGTACAAGGGGTGCTTGGTCCGCCCCCCACGGGGGGCGGTCTTCGCGTGATACCCGTAGGTAACAAAATGGAAGTCTGGTCTGAGTCGTTGGAAAGATCGGCAAGTGGTGTAAGTAGATCGAGGATCGGATGGAGCGTGATGTAAGCAGTAGACAAATGCATATGCAGAAATACACGCCACAGCAAAAGAAACAAAGACGCAGGTTCGCAATTTCGCAATAATGGAGGAACACAGCTGTAGACTTATTTCTTCGGGAGAATAATCGGAATTCCAGTTTGCACTCTCACTCTTTGGCTGCTACGGCTGCTGTGATACGGCGGTGCCACCTCGTTCGTTGGTGCAGGGGGATACTGGCAACGCAAGAAGGACGAAAGGTCGAGATCCTTCGCCAAGAGGGGGAGGGTAGGAGGGTGGGGCGACTACGGTCCAGGTGGACCTGTGAAGGCGGGATCTGGCAGTCAAACGGAAGGTGACGTCAGTGCACCGAGATACTCTGTTTTGGCCTGCCGGCTAGCGCTTGCGACAAGCAAGTATTATCTGATGATCGGCTGAAACGGCAGTAGGTAGATACCGTTAGCGGAGCCGAGAACACGATTTGGAGTGATGCGTTCCTAGCCAGAAACACACGCAAAGGCTTGGGGCCTTGGGTTTGCGACACGTTTTCAGTTCTCCCCACAAAGTTGAAGAATTGCATAAAAAAACGACCTGAAAAGCCCATGTCCAGACTGTAGACTAGGGCTTTGGTTCAAGCCCAGGAGAGGTGTACAAGAGTTAGCGACCGATGGCACGCACATTGTAGCACCAGCACCAATGAAAACGGTAGCTGGGTTTTCGAGCGGACCCAGCCCGTAGATGAGGATACACCACAGCGTCTATCGCTGAAATTGGCACACGCGCACGTACCTGAATCGTACACAGCATCCCTGCGTTCTTGATTGATGTAGCACGTATGTCACCCATTGCGTATCGTGTTCGAGAACATGGTACATGCAATCAGAGAATGACTACCCGTTCGAGATAAAACCACATTCGAAGGGGATGGGTTGAATCGTACTTCTATGTTTTTCCGCGTGTCCAACGTGTACGTCAATGGTATCCTGCCGACGCTGTTTGGTGCTGCAGGAGCCGCAGCCGGGGAAGCTGCCGCTGAGGGCGCAACGACAGTCGCGGAGGCATCTCGCGACGACGCGAAGAGCCCTACTGCTGCTGCGGCTGCAGCGGCTGCAGCGGCTGTCGCTCGCAAGAGAAAGGGCCAGGGCAAATCCAAGTCCTCTGGCAACAACAGGGGGGGGCGCAATCCGCAGAAGCGACGAGTGGAAACTGTACATGCTGGCTCGTACGCTGGTGGGTGTATGGAGGTGATGGTCTTGCTGTTGATCGTGGCAGTGGGTAGACAGTTGTGCGCTACAGGCTTGCGTCGTATACTCATTCCCGTCTCATCCACCTAGCCGCTCCAGGTTTTCCTTCCTGTTTTGTAGCCGCGCTCGGCGGCATATTCGGGCTTGAACTCCGACAGGCCCCCTCTCCTCGTGGTCCCCTGCCTCCCTCCTGCGGAACATTCCGTAATTTTTGCGCGAGCATGAATCAAAAGTAGTCGCTCCCTCGTCGAGTCGAATTTTGTGTTGCTCTCGAGTGATGGCTTGTTGTTGTCCTCAAAACACTGCGTAGGAACATGCTGAGATTTGAACCGACGGCTTGGCCGTCCAAACCGCGTGCAGGAAACTTGTCGAGGGTTCCCTGAGACAGCAGGGATGACCCAGCTAGTGTGGGCGTCAAGTTGAAACTTTTAACCTAGTGGTGGTATCGAAAGTCGTAGATACTTGCGGGTTCTCGTGCCGCACGTCCTTTTTAGATCCCACTGCCAAGTTTTTTTAGCGCAATTCTGCTCGTGTATGTCAACGTACGTTGAATGTTGCATAGAAGGAAGAAGCCCGGCACGTGCCTTGCCTAATCTGATTCAGAGGTAGCACTCGCTCGCCCTTTGGAGAGGTCCTGAGTGTTTGCATGTCACCCGGTGGTGGCCTAGAATTATCGTGGCTGATGTTCCTCCGTTGTCGTGACGAGTACCGCGCGTGATTTTAGCTCGAGTAGACTACATATATTCGCGATAGGAGTTGACCCCGCGCCGTATGGTGACCAATCGTTGTTTTTGAGGGGAACTAGGCGCCCGCGTGATGCAACGCGAGTAGACCATTCGCGATAGGAGTTAACCCCGCGCCGTATGGTGACCAATCGTTAGTTTTTAGGGGAACTAGGCGCGCGCGTGATGCATCGCGGGTAGAATATTTTCGCGATAGGAATTGACCCCGGAGCGTGTGGGGACCGATCGTTCTTTGTCAGGGGAGCTGGGCGCGACTCTCAGCGAGGAGCGCCGCCAATTGCTCAAGGAGCGCCTGGAGGAGGACGACAGGAAAGCGGCGCAGGAGAAGGAGGAGCAGGAGAAGAAGCAGGCCGCCGCACCTTCCGCTGATGGAGGTATGATGCGTACACGAAGGAAAGCTAGAGCGATGACCGGTTCGTCCCTCACCAATCGAAAAAGAGGGATGACCGGTTCGTCCCTAACCGATCGCAGTAACCAACCGGCCATATTTTCATCTTGTAAGGCGTTCTTGAGGACCCGTCTCTACCCACTGCGACCTTTGGCCGCCCTGGCAAGCATGGAAGTGATGACCCCCCTCCCCTCCCTCCCCCTCTCACCAAATTCCGGTATGCGCAGCCTCCGCTGACGAAGCCGGCCCAGTTGTAGGGCCCAACGGGGAGGGCGGAGTGGCGTCGAGCTCGAGCAAGAAGAAAGTAGCCCTGCTTATTTCCTACTGGGGCAACAACTACCAGGGTTTACAAATGTAAGTGGGGGCAAGATTGGGTCGTGCCTGCTACAGCCGGGAGGATACAAACCGAACGGGGGCATGTTTTTTTTGTGTGTTTTTCCTGTTGCAGTATGCAAGGTGCTCTCGCAAATGGCACGGCGTCAGTTCGTCGGCGGCGGGAACATCCTGCACACCACGGTGCTGCTGCTGACATGTGTATTTTTCGATGCGTGGTCCGATAACACCGCGAAGAGCAGGATGTCATTCGGCCACCGGAGGTGCCTTCGGTTTGTCTGCCCATGGCCCATCTCGGAAAGCCTCCTCTTGCCTCGCGTGAGAGTTTGTCGCTACAACACTGCTGCTGTGTTTCGGCTTGTTTGTTTGTTTGTTTGTTTGTTTTCCCGCAGAAACAAGGGTGCCAGGACCATCGAAGCGGAGCTGGAGCTAGCCCTGTACCTGGCGGGGACAATAAGCAAGGACAACTTCGGGAACCCGAGGAAGGTTTCTTGGTCCCGTGCCGGCCGCACCGATAAGGGGGTTCACGCCGCAGCACAGGTGATGTCGTAGTGGCATCCACACTTGGTGCTGTTGAGATGCGGGTCTTTGCACCGAGTTTCTGTTCGGTCGAAAGAGTACCTGTTGAGATGATACCGTAGGTTTATTGCGGTCGCGGCGTTTGGTGTAGCGAGCTGAAATCGACGACGATGATGATCATGAATGATGGTCGTGGTGATCATGGGTGTGAAGGGTATGGTTTCCCGTCGCAAAGGATGCCCTTCTAGTGTACTTGACTTCTCTTGGACAGGACCGTCCACCTATTTGGTCTGTTTTATGTTCACGGTGTTTGTTTGTGCTTTGAGAGTCGTCGCGCTTGTGCACGTCGATCTGTCAGTTAACTGCCGAAGCAAACTCGGATTGGTGCTGACTGTGAGTCCATGTCTCGAACAAAACCCGTACTTCGAAATGCTGCTTTTTTAGACAAGGCGGACATAGTTGACGGGTTCGCGGCATTTCCCTCCTGTACCTCCCGCTCCCCCCTCCCCCGTGGTATCTTACATGTGCGCCATCTCTCACGTCGAACAGGTGATATCGGTGAAGCTGACATACCTGAACGACGGCGAGAGGGAGACGGTTGAAAAAATCAACAAATACCTCCCTGATGTGAGTGCCGGGCTGACCAGCTGGTTTGCCCGGTGCTTCTTGACCTGTGTGTGGCCCTTGGGCATACGCTGGACCGCCTTGCATCGAGACATTCACCTCTGGCGCCGAAATGACCTCTCTCAGACGGCGCCATCTACAATGGTAGACAACATGCCGCTTGCAGCGAAGGCAGGTCAAGCTGATTTGTGGGGTATCTTTCTGTGCGGTGAGTGCTCAGGCTCAATGTGAGTTTTGGTTCCCACGTGGCCTTTTGTCGCCGTTTCGTATGACAGGACATCCGGGCGGTGGACATCAGGCGAGCACCGAAGAGCTTCGACAGCAGGACGCGGTGCAGCGGCAGGCGGTACGAGTACATCATGCCCACGTACGTGCTGGCTCCCAAGGCGTACGTCACGGACCTATTCGAAACGGTGCGTGTCTAAGTTGTCCAGCTTGGCAATCACTATTCCAGAGCCGTTTTGTTGCAGGCTGATTCGGTAGACAGTGTTTCAGATAAAATCTGGAAAATGACCCTCTCCGCCGCGACGTGTGATCGCAGGATCTCAAGTCAGTTCCGTGTGACGATGGCCGCTGCAGACAGTTCAGGCCCGTCCACGCTGCCGCCCCATTTCCCTATTACCTATCCTCATGCGAAGCAGCCAATGTCTCTCAAACCTTTACGCGCAGGCGTTGGAGTGGGAAATGGCCCACGCCGGCGGTGGAGACAGTAGTGCGGTGGACGACCTAGGGGAAACTGCGGATATTTCCGCCGTGGCGGGGGGCTCGATACAAGTGGATGCGGCCCAACTAGCAGCAGGTTCTCCTCCGCCTGAGGCAGCGCAGGCCGAAAATGCTTCTAGTGGCGCGGTGCTGCCGTCGGCGGGAGCAGTCGGAACGGAAGCATCAGGATTAACAGATGCTGCCGATGCTGCGGCGGCGGCCTCCATGGAGACTCCGGCTGCGGGACGAAGGCAAGGGCACGCGGTGGGTGCGGCGGACGACGACGGGGCAAGCGAGTACAGCGGGAGGAGCGACACCGAAGGAGACGACGACGACGGCAACTCGCAGCAAGAGTACGAAGGGAGCGGGGACGAAGGAAAGGAAGCTAGGTTAAGGCAGGCCGCCGTGGAGCTGTCTTCTCCGGCCGTGGTCCAGAGGGTGGCGGAGCAGCTGAAGGGGTACCGCTTGAAGCCGGACAGGCTCGAGGACCTGCGAGAGACGCTCAAGGGGTTCCTGGGCACCAAGAACTACCACAACTACACCAACCACAAGAAGGCGACGGACGCGAGCTGCAAGAGGTACGCGTGATTTGGGCAAAGAAGGACCGGGCTTGAGAAAGTGCGGAGACCCCCGCATAGGCCTTGTTTTTCTGGCGGCCGTTTTGCGCTAAATTTTCCCCGACCAAGGGCCACGTCGTTTTCTTCGTGGCCGCATACTCAACACGAATTTTCCCCTCGAGGCTGTGCAGATACACCTGCATGTAGGGAGATGTGAGGACGGTAAGGGTGATGGTGGTGATGGGAAGCGGGAACGTGTCGATCGCACTTCGGTCACAGTTTCGGACCAGCTCGTTAACTCTTTTGTTTTTTGGTCCTCTTCGAAGCACGAAAAATGGCGGCGTGCAACCTGGATTTTTCATGTTTCTGGCCTTACGACCGTAGGCGTCTCTCGCGCGATCTGTGTCCTTTTTTTGTTGGCTGTTTTCGACAGGTTAATAACCTCGTTTACAGCGTCGGACCCTTTTGAGCACGAAGGCATGGAATGGATCCGGCTGACCGTCGGGGGGCAGAGCTTCATCATGCATCAGATCCGCAAGATGGTGAGCCCTGCTTGGATTTCGCCACCGAGCTTAAACGCAGGTAGGTGTGTTAGCCAACACCCCCGAAGCGCACGATGTAAATAGCTAGATCTTCAACGTGGCCAATTTCTGCGAAGTTTGCTCCCCTGCTTCAATCGACGTGCAGGTTTTTCATAGGTTCGAGGGAACGAAGGTCCGTCGAGGTCCTACTCGTACGGTACTGATCGACATCTCAGTATGCACGCGAACCCCCCTGACCAACGTCGTCGTGCTCGCTTTCATTTGCATCGGTGGTCCAGAGTGCAGCGCACGAAAGTAACACTTGGGATGCATGCCACCCCCACCCCCCTCCCTGGCCCTCTTTTCGGGGTGTCACAGGTGGCCTCTACGGTAGACCGCGTTCGAGGGCAGTCCAATCCGGAGGACTTCACCAAGTCCTTCTTACCCGAGAAGATAAACCTGGGAATCGCCCCCAGTGACGGGCTCTACTTGGAGCGACCGCTCTACGAGCCCTACAACAAGGAGTGAGTTTCTGTCGCTGTTTGTGTGCGTGTTTGGGCCGCGGTTGGGTTGCTCATGTTGTTTGCCCCCCCCTGTCCCTCGCGGAGCCCTAATGCCCGTTCTTGTGACTGTCATCGCCTGGGTGAACTTCGTGTGTTTCGGAAGTTGAAGTGCTACATCTTCTACCTGGTGTATACAATGCTGTGGTAGGGTTTCGTGTAAGTTGCGCCCGAAATGTTTCGATAGGAACTATGCACGGTGCCCGGGCGTTTTCATTATTCGGTTCTAGGTGAAATGAGCATGCTGATCCGATCCTGACAGGTTGGTCCTCTTTCGCACAATACAACAAAGCATTAGGAAACCGCGGACCACGATTTCTCAAGGAGGGGTTTCTCAGCTGATTGCTCTTGAGCTCACGAAAGCTGCGCAAATGAGCTCGTGGCCGTGCCTCCCCGCGTACGTTTCCTCGCCAACAGCAGCAAAAAGAATGGAATTTTCAGCCCACACCCGCTGCGGGGTGGTGTAGTGACACCCCCGCAGGCATTTCGTTCTGGGGCTTCTCTCCAATGGCGAAAGCTAGAGCGACGCCGCCGCCCCTCGCGCCAGCACAGACTAGACGTCCCCCGCAAGTCGCGTTTAAGGCTGGTGGCCAGGGCAGCAAGCACCATGAGCACCATCTGGTTTGTCGCCAAGCCAACGAAGCAAATTGGTGGCCACACGAACACCCCCCCCCGCCTGCTGAGCTATATACGTCCACGAAACTGCGGCATCCAACGATCGCGGTGCAGCCATTGTTGATTGCTCGTGTACGTTGCCTAATCATGTCTGTTTTCGCGACAAACATGCCGTGTCCGCCTCCCCCCCCCCCGTCGCAGTGCAACAGAAACACCCAGAGGAGCAGTTGCAATATTAATTGTGTTTTTAATCATTAGACTACCATGTTTGTTCGGGTATAATCTAATCGATTTATCTCCTTTACACGACACGAAAAACGGACTGCTGTCCCTGCAACAAACACAGCGTGAAACGCGCTAAAGCTCACGATCGCCTTCTGGAGTGGGAGACTGGACCCGCTGCCGAGGCCCTGGAAGACTTCAAGAAGAACAAAATTCACGCAGGAATCCTCGCAAAGGTGGGGGTTGTTATCTTTCCGTACTCGACCTCTACTCTTCCTTGTTGAAGAATGCTTGTGTTTTTCGCCTTCCCCGCGGCGGGAACGGTTCGGACGGTAGAAACAGGAACGCGCGTCTTTGGTGTTGGCTGCATTTTCGTGCACTGGTAGACCTTTCAGTGGCTGGGAGAGAACTGCAGGGGGGTGGCGAAGAAACGTGCATTTACCTGAATTTAACCCCTGGAGCGGTGCATGAAGTGTCGCTGCATAGTCTGTGGCAACATGTCACCGTTGCTGGGGGCGTTTTAGAAACGGGTACACGGGTCCTCTCGGCGTTGCTGGGACACGTGTGCTGTGAGGTTTTGAAGCAGATTTGCAGTGTGCGGAGTGTTCCGTTTTCGACTGTCGGTACCGGGTGGTCGCACGGTTTGCAACACGGCGGACACCAAGGGCGCATGCTCTGGATTATCGGGTACATTCCCGACGCTGGTTTTTGGCAAGCCGTGAATATGGTTGTATTCTCAGGCTGTTGTTGCTCACACCGCTCTGGCCACCACCCTGTATATCTTTGTTGTTCCCGCCCGCCCGCACGCCGTGATTGTTTGCTATGTTCAATACCCTAACAGTCTTGCGCCGCGTTGCCCTGTTGCACCCTTACCGCTATTCTGCCGTTGCCTCCTTCACCAGGAGCAAGCGGACTACGACTTCGTAGCTTGGTTGGACCGCATCACGAGATACCCGTGCAATTACTAGGGTAGACCTGGAGCGCGCATGGTTCGGAGATGGGGTTTGTCTTGGGCTCGGAGTTCGAAAATGCTGTTACGCTGCCTGTGTTTGGAGCTGTGCCCGCTATTTCCCCGGACACCCAGAAATCTTGTGCCATCAAGACCTGTGGCGGCACGAGGGTTTCACCCAGTGTTTGTGCTGACGGAGCGTTTGGCATACTCGAAGCACCCTTGTTGATGCTCTGTCGTAGAGCTCGAGGGCGAGTCGATATGAGCAAGTAGGGCGCGGAGAAATGCTAGAAATTGCACCGATTTGGACGGCTGGAGTCGGAAATTGGGAGGGTGAGATGATTTTGCTCTGCTTTCGCGCGTAGCGGTGACGCGCCCTCACCCGCGTACGCCTGCTTTTTGGGACAGGAGGGCATGTGATACTCGTCTCAGAACGTCCAGCTAGTTGCCTCGACAGAACCGTACATGGGAGGCACGTGCTGCTCTTTTTCAAAGAGTCCGCTGCTTGAGCATGTGGCAAGGCTCGCGAGTGTGGAGGAAGTTTAAGGGCGTCTTGCTAAAGCCTCGCAGCGCTACGTCGCCGCCAGGAGTACGATGAAGAAATGTAAAACTTTTATCCATTTTTTTTTTGTGTTGGTAATGTATCGGTTCTCATGGATTTCGTCGCCCTCAAGATGATGTTACAACCGGTTGGCGGGAAGGTGTTTTTGGCTTCATTCGGCGGTACGCCGCGTCCTCGTTTCTACAGGTCCCCCGGTACCCAGCTGACTGGTGCGGACTTTTAGACGCTGTTTACCGTCGGCGACTTTTTCGTTCTCCGTTGCTTGCCTTCGTGCAGTCGTTCGGCCGATCGACCACACCGCTAACACGAAAGCGAGCCTGGCCCTCCAGGTCAATCAAGTCGTTCGCCTTGCAAAGCACCCCCCCAGAACGAGCATCTAGAACGTACTACTTTTGCATACAGTACGCCGCTCCACGCCGCAACAACCATTCTCTCGTGATGATACTTTTCAGAGACGGGACAGAAACGGACCTTCAGTCCTCCCCCCCTTGAAGCGACGCGGTGCCATGTAACCCACGAGAAGATGCCGTTTCCTGCCCTCCCTCACCCCTCTGGTCAACAGGCTGTTTCGTTGTGCCGGGCGAGCAGCCCACCCCCCCCTATCCGGGTTCATCCCGTACTTGCACCAACAAAGACCAACCGGCCGCAAGGAAGCGCACCAGCAGCCAGCCATGGCCTGGCGCGCCCATTAAATCTTGACGTCGTTCTCTTGTCCCCATTTCTTCATACACCGCACCATGTACTCCACCTGGGAAAAAACAGTTGTTCCGTGTGGTGTAGTGTGGAAGAAGCCATTTGGCGTTGGTCACGGAGCAAACGCAAGCTTAGCCAACCCTTGGGAAGCTAAAACCATATTGTTGTGATGGGGGGCGATTCAAAGCGGGCAAACACACGTAGCATGCGGTTCACGCACTCATTCGTTCAGATCTAGATTGTCTACGCAAGGATTCTAACATGGTGCGGCGGGACGCATGGCCACGGGACCACCTTCTTCGTTGACCGATGCCCGAATCGATACGCTCGTCGATAGACAAACAACCGGACACAGACAGGTGCCTCTCGGTTATATTATGGTTCGTTCTACACGCAATCTGCCACCCGAAAACAACACATCGCGAGGGTAGAGTCAGCTCGACCATCCTGAAGCAGGCTTAAACCTTTACCCCCCCCTCCCCCCCCCCGCTACATGGTCCCGCCACTCCTCCTTTCTCGGGCCCACTTGTTCACACTTTTTGCTCTCTCGCTGATACCCTATGTCGAGCTAGCGTAGAGTAGAAACACATGTATTGGATAAAAAACATGGTTTGTTGCGAGCGCACCTGTGGGTTGTTAGTGTTTCGCACCATCGCCAGCACGTCCCGAAGGTCGTCCTTCTTCGCCTTGCCGGCGATGACCTGCATGAAGACAACAACATTCATCACCCGCGCCACACAACAACCGAGCAGAACACGAAAGAAAAGGAAACCACGCAGGCTAGACTACAGTACGTTTGTTTGTGAGACTCGGAAACCGGAGGTTTGTTTCTGATGAGCAAACACATCCGCACAGGATTCGAGGAATACATGGTTCGGAACGATCCCGGGAGTTTCCAAAAAACAGGTTAATTAAACTCTCGTCAAGAGTACTAGACTATCGTGCTTGGTGGCGCTCCGGGTACAGTAAGGCAAGGACTCTCTTTTTTCTCATGACATCCAAGAAATAACCGGATGGCCAGAATTTAGTCCCCTACAGCGGGATTTACTCCAAACACCCGGCCGGCTGCTCGACAGTTTCTTTTGACACCTGCTGGAAGACACCCACGCAAGCCCCCCTCTTGCCCTCCCAGTACTCTGGGTCGGGATCAAGCCTCTCCAAGACGTCGAAAGCCTTCGCCGCGTACAAGAAGTGGCCCATCTATGAAGCGCAGACGAAGCATCATATGATGAGAAGGATCAAATTATTCAGAGACAGACGAGGATACTCGGAGGGTAGACAACATAGTAGCTGAACACAATAAAACCAGTTAACTCGTTTCTTGTGGTGTTGTTGCTCACAGACCAGACACGAACCCACGAGCTAGCTTCCTGAGCCGGAAGGAAGCTTGGGAGGTAAGAGGCAAGGAGACGTGCGAATAGGATATAGTTCTGAGATGGGGGAGGGAAGCAATGCAAAGATGTCGCCTCGAATAAAGCGCGACGACCAAACTCCCGTCATCGTTGCTGTTGAAGGAGCAGAGCAGCAACAATACTTGTAAATGGAGTTGTTGAGGGAGCGCGTGTTGTCGTGATTACGGTAGAGGCACTTGTATAGAAGCCGTAGAATTGGCTGCACGAAGCACACAACAACCCAGCAGAAGAAGAAGAAGAAAATGGGGCAGATACGACAGACAGACACCGAAAATCTCACTCGGTAGCAGTCGTTGGCGATGAGCTGTAGGAGGTTGAAGGACTCGTTGGAAGTGTCCATCTTGAGGTACAAGTCCCAGGCCGACCGGGGGTTCCCATTCATGATGTAGCACCTGGCACGTAGGTTGTTGAGGTCAATTTCACGACGGGTGGGTGGGGGCGTACTTACGTTTAGCGTGCCTGAGCAGGTGGGAGGGGGGTGTACTCATAGTCTCGTGCATGCCGTAGTCGTTAGGCCATTGAACTCGCATCCCTACAAATCCGTGACGGAGCAGGTGGGGGGCGGGGGGAATCCCGAAATTTGCGCCGCCGATCCCTTCCTGATTTGTACGGATATGCACGCGCTGTGCAAATGAAAGATCCGTCATGAAGAACTCACTTGATAATAAATCAACAGAGTGCGGGCCAGTAGCTGTTGCTGTTGCCTTGACTCAAGGTAGGAATGACAAGGACGGGGGGAGGGATCAGCTCCCTCAAGCAGGGGCTACTACATACAGTAGATTCAGAAAGCAGACATGGCCACCGGAGCATGACGTGGCGCCAACAGCATGGGGCTACCAAAAATAGGATTGCTAGACTCGCCCACCAAGCAAATTTCAACAACGTCATCGGCCTTTCCGGGCCCCGGCCCTTGAAAACATCCCGCCCACCGTTCAGACCCAAGATGATACTAAAACGGTTTCATTCATCATTCGTTCACTCCATATGCAGACCGCACAGCAGCAGTGTGCAAGACCTCGGCCTACGACGGGCCAAAAAAGGGGGGATCAAGGAGGCGACCAGCTTTTCTCGTTCGCCAGCGTGGGTGTGCGGCGCTTGTTAGCACCGGTCCTAACTTGACTACGCGTTTTTGATCAATGCTTAGTTTGCTTACTACGTGTAACGACGGTCTTATGGTACATGGAACAGAGCGAGAATTTCCACGGTACAACGCTTTCGTCGAGTCGGGCATAAGACCAACCTCGTGAGCCAGCTGATGTAGCAGTACTCCTGCTTCATCTTCTCGTTGGCGATGAGGAGCAAAGCCTCCTCCGACGCCTGTTTGAAAGCGTGACGAGCGATTGGGCGTTTCACTGGCCGTCTCAGTTTCAAGACCAACAAGACCAACAAGACCAACAAGAGCGTGTGGACAACAAATACATGGAGGGAGGGGTCGTAGCATCGGCCACAGGAAACAGGCGGCTGCCGGGCACCATCAACCAGACACACACACGCCAGATGCAAGATGTTTGGCTTGTACGACAATCAATGTGCGTTAATCTTCGGTTGCCGCTGCACAAATGGAGGCCAACATTCACTTGGCGTGCAGTCTACCGCATAGCGGGGAAATGTTACATGGTACGAAAACATGGTACCAATGGCATTTTTCTAGTTCTGATCGATCACCTTGAAGTTTCCTGTGGATCCCAGGGAGAGTCCGTGGTTCCAGTTGAAGTCGTCGTCGTTGTACATATACGCCTAACGAGAGGTTTCGTGGTTGATACGGACCGGGCGTTGTTTGTTTTAAGGGGTTAGTGGTCACATCTTGGGCGCGCAAGTGTCCGACACCGGCCGTGAGAGAGATTAGGGAATGTCCAGAGTTGTTCGAGCTTGGGGGTAGTGAGCGACGTGCAACGGAGGAGGGTTAACTATTTTATTCACAATGTTTTTTTAGGCTACCGCCGAATCTGCTTGAATCTAGCTACTATTACCTCCAAGCGTTTTCTGTGGCTTTTGTTCGCACAAGAACAGAGTTTTATCTCCACGGATTTAGGAAAGCTACAACATCCACCTCCCGAATGGCGAGGCGTTCGAAGCAGAACACCACACAGGATTGGCATCCTCCTCCCAAACTGTCGAATAAAATAACTCTCATTCCCTCTACAACCATCGCCACCCCCTCCTCCTACGATGACACAACGGCTGAGCAAGCAGTTCCCGCTGAGAAGAAGTACGTGCGTTCGGCCTCCGATACATCTGTCTGTTTATTCCAGGTCACCTTGACGGAATTGAGGTAGATGTTGACGTCCTCGAACTGCTTGAGCAAGAAGAAGCACGAAGCCATGCATTGCCGCCCGGGGATGGTGTCGCACTCGCTCGCAGATGCCCCAACAAGCTACAGCCACGGGGAGAGGTAGGACACGATAACGGTAACAACAACAGGAACAAAATCATCATAATCATTGTCATCATCTCACCAGCTACAGTTACAACAACAGTAGACCACCCGCACCAGCAGCAAACAACATCATCATCATCATCATCATCATCATCAACAACAGCTACAGTTACAACAACAGACCAACCGCAGCAACAACAACAACAACAACAACAACAACAACAACAACACCAGTACGTCTGGTTCGTGAGCACCACACGCGGGGTAGAAGCAGGCCAGACAAGCGAGTGTGGCAGAATGTCGATCACATCCTTTGCTCGCCTGAAAGTACTGTTGGGCCATCTTGAGGTGCTCCCTCGAGCCCGTCGCCTGCCCGATCGACGCATTCACCACGCCTGGTGCACACAGAAGAAGGACGGGTTGGAATCACCAAAACTCGGGGAAGTAGTTCAGCTTGAGGCAATTTCGGAAATATGCCAACTCTCACCCCCGCCAACCGTGCATCTCTCGCATGGCGATCAGATGCAGACAGCCCTACTACGAAAGGAAAGGGCGCACCACCTCACCTACTATAGAATGGTTTCGTGCTCCGTACTCTGGATTGTTTGGGTTGCTCGCCCATACAATAACTCTACGCCTGAAGTTGGAAAACAATTTTCAAGTCTTCCGGCTCGAGATCTCGGTCGAAGACAAACGACCTGTGAGAGTTACCCGGAGGATGGGTGGAAGGGCACTTTTCCCCGCATTTTTTAAGCCCTATACCCCCGGCCACCGCGGAGGTGACCGCGGTACATACCTTTAAGAATGTATTCCTGCGGGGTGGAGGGCTCCAAGTCCTTGATGAGGTCGTACGCCTCTTGCAACCCTTCGTGTTTCAAATAGTAGATCACCTAGAACAAGAACCGAAGCAACGCGGACCAAGCCAAAGGGTAACAGCGAGGGGGGAGGGGGGGGGTACATGGACAGCGCGTAAGCGATGGTACATGGACAGCGTGTAAGCGCTGTCGCTCCAATGGGTATACAAACCTGCACCCCCATTGTCTGTGCTACCATTTCCCATCAGTGCCAATCAAATACACCAACAACCCCAACATCATACCAATGGCACACCACAACCGCGGAGATGGCGGCCGTACGTTAACTCCAAGGGCTTCATCAATGGACATAGTTTTGATAATCTGCAAAGAGTGACACTGTATACCAATACCGTTCACCTGGTTTAGATACGCCACACCGAGGTTTCACGCAAGCGGCGGCGTTTATGACGGCGTTATCTCGACGAAAATACCTGTTTAATCGCTTCTACAAGGTTCGGCCAGATGGAGGTACTGGATAGAGAGATCAAAACGGTTTTTAATGTGAAGACAGCAACAACAACAGCGGCAACAACACAGGGGTGCTTGCTCACCAAGTTGAGCCTCGCTTCCGGGATGAAGTCGACGAGAGGGGGAAGCACCTTGAGAGACTCCTTGCCTTCGGAGAACACCACCGTGTTGTGGCGGATCAAATCATTCGCCTAGAGAGTAGGTTTCAAGGAGTGCCATTAAGGGTGGGTTTGCAAGGAGGTTAAATGCCAGCCTCGGCAACTTGGACATCAAACAGACCCCGCCCGCGGCCTCGGGTTGTACCTCACAAAGCGGGGAAATGATTCCATGCTCTTGGCTGGTTTGCCTAAGGCTGTCTCCCCTCACTTACCAAGAAAGATACAACAGGTGTTCTGCTGGCTTCCCAGAAGACTCACGGTGTCGTGGATAAAGCACAGGATGGTTTCTAGGGTGAGTTCGTTTTCTGGGTAAGGAAAGAGCCAGCGGCGGCGAGGGTCAAGGGAAGAAGCCACATAGCTACCCAATTATATCCAGGGCTTGGGCCTGGGCTTCAGTCAGGGCTCAGGTCGTTCCCGAGAGGCATCTCGCAGGGTTAAGGCCACGGTAACGGCTGGGCTTGAGTTGATTATACCCGCGCGGGGGTAGCGTAAAACACGCCTGTAGGTTGTGTCCTCGGTCGGAGAGGGCCTTGAGCTCCGTCTCCGCCGCCTTTCCGTTGTACAGGCGGAAAACGTTGCAGGCCTAAAAAGAAGCGCACCGCCGGGCAGGAGAAGAAAGGATGTTGAGTGAGAGAGTTCGAAAAGCGAGAGTATACAGAAGAACGAAATCACGAATCAACAAGCTGGCAAATAACGAGCACAAATGGAGGGAACAACTTCCCTCTCCTGAAACCGTAGCATTACGTAGCATGCTTACGCCACGTACCGTAGAACAGGCCATCCCCCTCCCACGCGCACACACTCCCTCTCTTGTATTATCTCACTTTGAGGTTCATGGCGACCGCGCTGTCCGGGAAAGCCTGCAGGTACACGGCGAGGATCTCCAGAGACACGTCGTAATAGTCCAGCTTGTAGTAGCACATGGCCACGTACACGTTCAACGCGAGGTCGTCCCGATTCTCCAATAAAAGGCGCTTGTAGATGTCCGTTGCCTGGATTTTTCATTTTCATGTTTCATCGCGTGGATTCTGCGTCAAATCCTCAATGCGTGCATACGTTTGTCGGTTTAATCGAGTGCGTTATGAGTTTTCGTCCTTGCTGATTTTACTATCGTCGAAGTACTACTTTTTGCGACGGCCGCACATTAAACCGTGCTACAAACTGTTCTCTGTTTGATAGGTACGAAAATCAACTCAAAATGAGGAATTCTCACACGTGATCGCGAGGTATGCTTGAATCGATGCGCTGGGACGTAGTAGTTCTCATCCAAAGGGCCCCCCTACAACGGCAAAGTCTGTTGGATGCGAGCAAACCTGGAACTTTCAACGGTCATATCTGGGCGAAAGCGTAAGTGTTGAACAGTAGCTGTGCAGCACTCGACGAAGCAACTGGCCGCCAAAACACCACGACGATCTCTTTTTTTCAGTCTAGCGCTTTGTTCCCCCCACCTCTTGGAAGTGGCTCCTCAGGTAGTGGATCGCCGCGAGAGACAGCTGGTCTTCGTTGGTGTCACTGAGCTTCTGGTGGTACGTCATGAGCTTGTTCTCATCGAGCAGCTTGTGCGACACGTGGAACAACAAGCGATTCTTCAGGGCGCACTCGGGGCCCTTTTTTGCAGCCTCCTCCGCCTGCGTGCAGTAGATAGAAGGTTGGGGTACCCAAAGCCCGACATGTTGGGGGGATGGGTGGTTGGGTCATATAAACGCATGGCGTAATCGGTAGACGATAGACCTCGCATCCCTACAATGCCGGGACGGAGCGATATGCCGGGCTTTCGCCTGCCCGGACTATGTTTCACAAGGAGGTACCAAGTCATCATCCTTGCGTTTGATGTGCCAAACCGGGAGGGGGTGGCGTTAGTAGGATAAAAGAAACACGAAATTTAGCTGTTTGATTGCACGTGAGTTGGGTAATAACTCGACAAAGCTGATGTATGGCAAGTGTCAGAGTTTCTTGCAGCCACGGGTGTGCCGTGGCCTCTTGAGTCTCATTCTCCGACGTTATCCTCCGTTTCGTAGTCTAGGACGATTGAAGAGCCACAACAGAGGAGTAGGACTCCTGTCACTATGCCCAATCTTTTTTGTCGTTGCCCCGATCCCCGATAATCCGTGCTTGCGCAGACTACTTGACGACACAGCTCACCTTGTCGAACATCTGCATGTAGTAGTAGCAACATGCCAGAAACAAGGTCACCTCGTCCGCCCCGCCAAGCGACTCCAGCTCCTGCGATAGGCGATATGTGTTACTCGTTAGCAGGGGGCCGGAACGTATGGTCGTTCTCACGGAGGGTAGAGTACGATGAAGCACACGATGCCGCTGCAGGGGATTGATCGGACTTCGTGCTCGTGTTTGCTGCGAAAGAGGCCATTGGGGTGCTGCAGCTACTTCGAGTATACATATGATGAACGTTTCGTGACGGAGTTCGTTGCCCGCTTGTCGTCTCGATCGTCGTCGTCGTTTTTTTAAGGTTTCGGTTGCCGTAGTCGTCTTTTCCGTTGAACACCACTGCTCCGTTTTGGTCGTGCATGAAACTTGTTCCTCCGCACTGTCCCATCATTACGACACAACTTCCCGCTGTCTTAGGCCAAAAAACCTGGTGCCCGCGTCAGATGTGTGAAACGCAAACACCACGACAAGATGCCCGTGAACCCCCCCGACGTGCTACTGCCCGCCTTCAAACGCGACCACGGTAGGTACACTTTCGTTGTACCTGGTAGGCTTCGATGGCTCGTTGGTAGTTCCCGAGATGAAAGGCGCAGTACCCCAGCCACATGAGGGTGTCTTCAAGGGTGTCGTCTTCTCCCGACCGCCGGTTGAACTCTAGCAGCGTCACTGCGCCGGTGAAGTCCCTCGACTGACGGAACGGAGAGCCAAGAACGAGAAATAACGTGAGAATGTCGTCGAACAATACAAGTTGACAAGCCACCATAGTAAAACACTATCATATCGTGGAGGTCTGTCGCGGGTGGTGCTACCCTCCATAGTCAATCGCGTACACCTACATGAAAAACCGTACCTGAGGTCATCACACAGGAATTTTGCTGACGATGATGTTGAAAGACTACGCATGTCTTGGGCTTGTTTGCAGGCTTACCCTATGACTGATGTCCAGTGCATGCGTACGAACGACCAAAACCCCCCACTACGACGGAAGGCTCTGCATCCAGTCGTCTTCAAGTCCGCCGCGGTACTGCTGTGCATAAAACCTGTCATGGCTCTTGCGATGCCTGATGCTACAGTATGCTCGGCGATCACACGCACGCGATGCCTAGTTTTCGAGGCTTTGTCTCCACCCACCTTGACGTAATCGCTGAGCTCCGGCATCTTCTGCTGCCCCGGCGGCCCCTTCGGTTTGCTCCCCTTGCCTGTGCACCAACGGCCCACCAAGGTTGGGTTGGCGCGGTACGCGGAGGCATTTTCTGCGACATGAGGGCGTCCTATGTAGACCATGATTCGTCGAAGCCCGACTATTGACGTGCGTGTCGTCGCTGGTTGCATGTGCCCCTTTGCCTGCATCAAACGCCTCAACATTACATATCTGTCTGTTGACTTCGATTATACCCCTGTAAAAGTCAATGGTTCCCGCAAAGAAATACATCACAATGCGACACCCTACCACAGCATATTGCTCCAAGACCTCTGCCGTAGACTTCCGACAAGTACCATGAGCACTCACGCAAGAGCATTTTTGCAGAAGTCTTTGCCTTGGCCGTGGGGGGCGCTCTTGTCATCATCTTCCCGGCTTGCCCGCCCCTTGCCCGCCCCTACCACCAACAGCAGGAGCCGATGATGACGATCTTCAACGGAGACCTGGGGGTCTATTGACCAGATCTCCGATGTTTGGGTGTTCCTACCAAAGGGTGTATCCTTCCGTTTTCGTGCGTCGCACGTCCGGCGTCCGGATCCTCCAGCAACTCCTCGTAGGGGCAGGACCAACACCTCCACGCCGCCACACGCCAATGAAGGATCCCAGTGACACAGCAGACTTCTTTCTCGTCAAGATCTTCCCCCCGGTGCTTTTATGTAGAAACGTCTGCGGACGAACACCTGGCCTGAAGGATCATATATATGTTGTAGTACGCGATGAAGTGCCGCGTCCAGGATCGAAGCGAGATTACCTAATAGAACTCTCTCTATCAAGTAAACGTGCGCAAGGGGGCGGTTATCAAAGAGAAACAGCAGTATCTCTTGCCAAATAAGAGTACCCGCGAGACATGCAATCGAATCGCATCATCGGAGATCTTGGGGGGTCCGCACCTGCTGTAGTGCCGTGTATTTTTGTGCCCCTGTTTTATCCCTTTTGTCGACCCCCCCCGCGAAGTGTCCTCGTCGTGCGTGCCTCCTGAAAATGCTCAGCAGTCCTTCGGCCGGATCACTCATCACGCTTCACACCTGGGTCTATATATCATTGTCGCATCTATTCGGCGGGGCAATTGTCTGGCAAGCGTCCAGTTCATCGTCTTCTTTTTGGGCTCGGTCAAGACGTCACGACACATCATCTGTACCACAGCTCATTTTCGCCGCGAAGAGCCTCCTCTGCAGCTAGGGAGCCAGGCTGGAGCTAGGGAGTAACAGAGCAGCAGCCAGTCGTGTGCGGGAGGAGTGCGGGGACGGCGGCGGCGTGCCAGCAGGAAGACCGCGCTCATCATGTCTTCCGAGGTCTCAGCGAGAAATCCAGAGTTGCTCAAGGAAGAAGACACGGCTCGCCCAAAGTTCGTCAATCGCGGTGCGTTGCGGCGGAAAACCTGAAAATTAATGTTTTTCAACCGAACTCTCACATGTTTTTTTGTGGATCTACAGCAGTAGGAGACGGTCGGTCGTTTCGCAAGAGAGAGGAAGCCAGAAAAAACAAAGAAAACGCGATGTCCCGTTGTCTTTTGCCTCCTTCCATAGTCAGGAGCACCCATTGGAGTCTCCGCTTTCTCCTCGAGTAGAGCTGCCGTTTCTCCTCGAGTAGAGCTGCCGTGGCTTGCAGCTCGCGGTAGTTTTTTCGAGCCGACCGACCGCTCCTGACTCCTGACTATCTTGCCGTACCGCCCGCTGAGTACACCACATCAACAGATCAACAGCAGTGGGGTACTGTATCGCTCTGTCAAGGGATTGGCCGGTAATCACGCTACGCCAACTTCGTTCTGTAGCGCAGCTACATCAGTACAGAGTGCCGGCCCGCTCATGAAACACCTATTTTGAGCGAGGGTCAAACCTTAGTGTTCCCACCACTGGGCAAAGGCTATGTTGTACTTGTATAAAACAGATACAGCAGTGTGGTCCTGTGGTCCCGGTATAAGAAGGCTCACCTCCCATACATAGGTGTCCAACAAAAAAATATATATATTTCGCGCGAAGCGCGAAAAGAAGGGTCTGAGAGAGACATCACAGCAAGCGTAGATAGATATGGATGGAGCCTACGCCACCACGTAGGTCACCAGTGCGCACGCTCACACCTCACCCGATACCACCAGTCAGCCAGGGGATGAATGGGAGAGCTGTTTAGCTCTCATCATCATCAGCTCAGCGGCAGCAGTGCTGCTGCTGCTGCTGCTGCTTGCTGTTGCTGCGGCGCTCCTGCTGCTGCTGTGCATGGGTGCGCACTTGCTTTCTTCGCTTTCGCTACTAGCAGAGGGCAACAGGCTCGAAAAATTGGGCCCGACCCCTCCCACGACGTGCGTATTTGGCCGCCCATGGCTTACAGCGCTGTGTACGTCTCACTTGTTTCTGTTTCTGGGGTGCATCTGCTGTGGATCGGCCGGCAGACGAGAGACAGCAGACAAAGATCTCACTTGTGTGCACTCGCATGTTCCCTCGCTTACGCTGCTAGCAGTAGGCCTCGGGGTCTAAAAATAGCTTCCGACGCCAGCCATGATGTGTGCCTTTGGCCGGCCTTGGCCTACAGCAGTGTCTAGGCCGCGTTTTCTCTGTTGTGGGGATACGTCTGTGCGGGAAGCTCCAAAGATCGGTAGGGTGAGGGTGATGCAGACGGACCGCGGGTTGACTTGCGTCGTCACTCGCTTGTGCTGCCGACAGCAGGCAACGGGCCGCAAGAGTCCCACCCAACGCCTCCCATGATGTATGCCTTTGGCTGCCCTTGGCCTACAGCAGTCCGTATACTGCTGTGCTGGTTGTATCGTATGTTGTCTACGTGATGTGTATGGTGCTGCTGTGCGAGAGGATTTCAGTGATTCTGCCGAGAGCGTCGTGCCCATCGCCCAATCATCTGTCTCTGTCTTACGAAATGTCTTACAAACTTGACGGGTGATTGGTGGGAGTCAGGCATCTACCCGGCTCTACCCCTCTAAAACATAGATAATTGTTGGAAGTTCTTCCGTGTCTTACAAAAAAATTGCCCTATTTATGGGTGCTCTGCCTATAATAATGCCGGTCCAATAATGCCGATCGCCCCATGTGTAATAATGCCCGGTGATATCGGCTGGACCGGCTGTAGCCCGGTATACTGTAACGCCGGTACCGGCATTATAGAGGCAAATTCCACTATAGTGCCGGTTCGAGGGCCCTCTGGTCCGTGAATAATGCCGGTTCTCAAGAAAATCTCACCTGTAAAGGCCTAAAAGACTCGAAGTAAGCCTAAGCGTCCAGCCGGCCTTTGTCCCACTCGCTGCAAAGACCGCTGTGGTTGTATCCTGTGATTTTATGAATATATATACAAATCCTTTGCTCGCGCACGCAGCGCACACCAACACGCAACACACACAACTTCGCGGCCTAAGATAGACCAAGATGGCGATTATCGCGGCGCATACCTCAATGCTAGCCCGACAGGCAGACATTAGCTGGCTACTTTGACAAGATGTTATTGGAAGGGCCGCAGAGCAATGCTGCTAAGTTTGAATATTGTTCAGCACCGGTAGTAATGCGCGGTCGTGTTGTTGCTTTGGAAGCAAATACGGGTATTGTCCCAATAATGGTGTTTGAGTTGTGTTGATTGATGTGCCGGAACTGACGTTGTATATTTGTCGGTTATTGCGTGGTACAGCAGTACTGCTGTGTCAATATTTGGTCGGAGGGGGCATGGAACGTAGGCGGGACCAGTTAGGAGAAATGTGTGCATTCAGATGTTCGTACTCCGGATGTTGCTGTGAAAAAAAATGCGAGTCGTGTTCAGGTGGTGCTGGTTTTTTGCTTTGTTTTCTTTCCCGATGTTTGCGCTATGCATACGATATTCTTAGTCTATATGTCTGTATTGTTGTATGTGTATTTTTGTGAGTTATCGGGTCAAAACAACAACTTAGGGTGGAACACGTCAAGAGGAGTTTGTGCACTGACGCTGCTGTGTACAGCACGACAAAAAGGTGCTGCAGCAGACCAAAGATATAATGAGTGTTGAGCCACGGCCCATCGATGCACGCGCCTCTGAATGATGCTCGACCGCGGCAGGCTTTCCAAACCTCCTGCCACGGCATCCACGTCGCATGGATGGTTGAGGGTTTTCTATGATATCTTTTTCGCCTGAGTTTCTCAACCCCCCGTGCAGGTTCTTATAAGTGGCGGCGCGATGTGATACGCATATGACCTGGAGACCGTACACTTTGCACGTTGTTGTCAGCTCGCATATCGTTTACCTCATCTGCCGACGCTCATGTTTGAGTACTCCGTGTTGGCCTTGCCTTCTTTCCCTTTAGCATTCGCACCAAGCCTGCGTACTTCCACGCCATACCTTTTGCAGAGTGACAGCAGTCTCGTGTTCGAGCGATGACAACGCGCCTTTTATTCTACGCCAGTGTACACAATGTGCCTTTTTTTTGGCATGTTGCCACCGCTGTTCTTCTGTTCTAAACGAGTTGAGAGCACGACCACGCCTATTCCGAGGGTCCCACGCCGTCGTGTCTATCAAAGGGCCAGAATAGAAGGCAGAGTAGAAGACCACGCCCGTTCGTTGTTGTCTCTTGTTCATCTTTGAGATCGCGGGCTGCTGCGAAAGGTGTTGTTATTGCGGTGGCCCACATGGCATAGACCGATGTGTGGCTGAGCTATTTCAACTCAAGCATACCGTCATGTTATCCGAAACGTCCAAACGTACAGTTTGCGTAGAGGCCCAACCAGTGTCATCTTCTACGCTGTTGGTGGGCGGCCAACCAGCCGACGTTTGAATTCGCGATGACCCCGCCCCTTTTGTGTAGCGCTGACATGTCATATTATTGTGTGCGCCTTCAGAAAACGGAACTGGTTGTCTGTCAACTCCGAGGAAAGCAATCTCACGAACAACGGTACAGCATTATTACCATCGGAAGCTACGTGGGTATCTGTGTACTTGGTCCTCATGCCTCTGGTGTCATCACCTCTGAAGCACGTCACAACAACAGTTACTATATAAAGACAAGCTCAGTGGAGGCGCGGGGTGGACACAACAAAATAATTAGACTAGACTCCCTTGTTTGCTTCTGGTGAGGCCTGTATCGGCGAGCCCTGCCATCCATCTCACTGCACTAGATACTGTAGCGGGAAATGCTTCCTATTCGGAACACCACGAACGCTAGTCAGTTCGCTCTGATTGCGACCCCATGAAAGCAACGATCATAATGTTTTCGTTTGATCGGCTGTGATGCGTGCAGGTTTGCTTCGGTGGGAGAGGGAACGGAAAGCTTGGCTCGCGGGGGGTACCGGCGGGCCCGTCGGCAGGCGAAGGTACGTAGGAGAAGGCGGTTCCATCTATTAAGTGCCCCCCCCACTCCCTCCTAGCGAGGTCAATGGTCTAACGACTACGGCATGCACGACTATGAGTACCCCACCCGCTCCGGCTGACTCCGCATGCTTACTCTTTGCTCTTTTTGTATCCGACAATATGCAAAGCGTAGTTGTTCCGAGATATTGGTGTCCTCAAAGCGGCGATGACTGCGATGTCTGTGTGGCTTGAATGTCTCAGATGTGAAGGCAAACGCGAATGTGCTGCCATCTTGTTTCAGAGATAACTGCTTAACTGCTTGTGGTGTGCACATGTAAACTAGCAGACCAACAGCTCTCCTCTCGAGGAGCACAACCGTGAGTTTCATGGTTTGGGCCTTGGCGATGCTTTTATCAACGGCCGGCGTCTTTTGGGCTAAGAAACGAGTCATACAGACCGCTAGCCGCTGCGGTTTTCGCCCTAGGTTGTACTCTGCTACTGTTCCGATTGAGATTTTCGTTTTTTATCAGCTTGACGTCGTTGTCGTTGTCGACTTCTTCACTTGCGAATGCGCTACGGACCCCCCATCTACCTACTCAGCACCCATGCATAGCCGGGGTTGGCGGCCGCGTGTACGTTGTGTTTCTCGTTTCTGACCCTAAGAGCTCCGCTTTCATCCATGCTGTGGCCCTTGGGTATAGAAGCTCGCGTAAATGATTCCACGTTGATGGAAGACCCTTTCTTCTCCGTTGTCTCTCAGGGCTCGAGCGCGCACGATGGACGTGGACGAGGTGATCGACGACCTGTTCTCGGGGCGAGGAGGCACGGGTAACCTCCCGCAGTCGGTCCCACTCCCTCAGATGATCGACCTATTGGTGGACCTCTGGGAAGCGGAGGGTCTTTTCGACTGACTCGTTGACCGTGCTGTCTTTGGTTGTTGGGTGGGTGTGAAGACGCGGCGAGAGTTCGCTTTCTCTTTTTCTGGTGCGAATGGATGGACGGACTGACGCCGTTTCCGATCTTGGGAGGCGGCCGGACTGAATGAACACCGTTCGAGTGATGTTGGAAAAAATTGGCTGAAAGCTCATTCGGGTGGATGGAAATTGGACTGGACTCTGGATGGGACCACTGGGAGCAGACGCCCGGAGGGGTTCCTCCGGAAAGACCATACGTCTAGGATCGTTCTTGTATGCGATGCCTTCACGTTGACGCAAGTCGTGGTAAATAGGTATATTATGTGTGTCCTGTTCGTGTTGTCGTTTTCTTTGCGTGTTTTTTGTTCGTGGTGGAGAAGGTTGAACGGGGGGGCAAATGGTGGGCCGAGGGGGGGCAAGAGAGAGAGAGAGAGAGAGAGAGAGATACCCACTTGCTGCGTCAGTTGATGTTCCGTGTTTTGAAATGCTTGATGTTCCCTTTTTTTTCAAAGAATATCAAGCATTTCTTGGGGTGTGGCTTATTCGTGTAGCGTCACGACTCGCACCTGTACCTGTCCAGCCTGCCTCCGAAATCCGAAAGTTTGACGGTTAGAGTCCAGCCCTACTGTGAGATGCTGCGTGCCCCGTACGTACACGTCAGAGCTCCATATCGTTCCTGGGTACACTAGAGACCTCTCTGCTAATTTTGTACGATTACGACTTCCTTTTGTGCTTCTGTTAGGAAAAATCCCGGCCCTTCCCGTCGCCTTTTAACCCAAACCCAGACGTAGGTAGGGTGTTCAGTTCCATTCAATCTCGCCATTTAGGCGTAGCTAGAGCTATGTCGTGATGTTTCGCGGGTATGTATTGTGGCAGAGAAGCCGTTGAGTGCGCTCCGCTGCCGTTACTGTAGGTGTGTTTTTGGTGGCAAGTGCGTTGTACAGTAGTAGAGTGATGTATGCATAGGTGGCTGTGGGTGGTGTGGTCGGAGTTGGCGCGCGACCGACCGGCCCGTATTTTGTACCATGTGCCCGCGGTTTTTCCCCCCAGCGGGAAGGGTTTGATAGCTGTCTGTTTTTTTTTGTGCGCGGCACACGGTGCTTGGTGCTCTCGTAAAGAGTAAGTATTGCAAGGTATTGAGCCCACGGCCGTCGCGTGCGGCGTAGCTATCGTGTTGCCACTGCTGGCGTTTCGTCGCGTACAACATAACGCTGTATTTGTTGTGTTTTGTGTATGCATTCTTCTATCGTATCACACGCAATCACCACCTCTCGTGCACTCTGTTGTTGGGGCCGGGGGGGTAGACGCGCGGGTCCTGTGAATCCCAGACATTTGTCTCACTAGGCGATTCGAAGCAGCTGTTTTATTTATGCCGTTGTTGGCTTTTGCTTGAAATGACCACTGATAGTTTCTGTGTCCACCTGTGGGCACAAAAATGTACAATAAAAGTAGATGACATTAGTGGGGTGGGTGGAGCCCACCCATGAAGGAAGACGGCGGAGTCATGAAGAAGGTTTTCTGTTCTGTCTATTTCCTTTCGCATGGCTACGTATGTGCACCTGGAAGGAACAAGGTAGAGATAAACTCTTTCGGCTGAAGCAGGTATGGATTACATCATCATGTTTGCATCCCGGTTAGGGCGTCGCCGATCCACGCTTTTGCTTGTTTGGTGTGAACTTAACACCCAACAAACAATTCGGGTGGTGGCAACAACAGAAGCGTCTGCCCTTTCCCTATATGGAATCCCGATGTGGCAGCTGTTCTTCTCTTTAAAACTCTTCATCCTCGCTTCCAGGGGACGTTTCTACGTCTAAGATTCAATTTATGTTTCAGCCGATGTAGTTATCAGGTTCTGCCCCATTTTCGCCGTGTTGCACCGATCTGCTCTTCTTACGAACAGAAAATATTTCTGTAAAGGAATTATTCACTGCTGTGATTGTAGGTGTACCGGTACGCATGCATGACGTCACGGAAGGACTACCCACTCATGACGGGACCAACGCGTTTTGTCGGACACATGTTATATTATTCCTTAGTTCTCTTGTCGACAAAAACTTAGGAGTAAAAACAAGTAAACGGACTTTTTGTGGGGGCAAAAGAATGCCGACGTCCATGTTATTACCACGTAGCGACGCACTGCTACGCGATTACAAAGTTATGCATGTAGCGTCCATCGCACCCGAAAGTCGGACTGTTACTTGCGTACCCATACTCCTCTTCCGGACGAAACAATGACTAAACTCTCAAACCAAGTCTTGTTCGGGAAAATTCGTCACATGAGGGGCGTACGCAAACCGCCGACCGCGAGGGGGGGGGGGGGGTAGGGGGGGTGAGAAAAGAGAGAAAACGCCGTCTGAAAATGCATGTTGCAAAAAGATATTTCCGACGCGCGAACAACAAGCAAGCGTAGGCTGAGAGTTACGGGCTAGTACAGCGTGTGAAATGCAGCATGCCGTGGTACGATGGGCGTTCAGACGATCCCATCGCAGATCACCGTGATAGATGGGTACCATCGACATCATCATCACCACATCGTGGGAAGCAGAATCCCGACTACGCCTTCGGATGTGACCGCGACTGTAACGGCAACGTCGGAGGCGAGATATTTGATCCACCTTCTGGTGATGAAGGCGGTGGTGACGGTGGACGAGAATGGGATATAGAAGGTCGATATCTCGGAGGAGGTGGTGGTGAAGATGATGACACAGCTGCTCTGCGCTTGGTGGAAAAGGTTTTGGCGAAACACTCGAAGCGAGATCGACGGCCTTCAACGGCGGTAAGATGAGATATTCATACAGCAGCAGCAACATGAACCAACCCTTCCGCCTTGTTGACGTGTGTGTGTGTGTGTGCGTGGCATTCCGCACGCTTTGGTTTAACTGATTACGACATGTGCCAGCGGCTGTATTGGGCTTGGACGACACATTTTCGTTGTTAACGAGATTCAGACTGCATATGCGCCGTCTACTGCTGTATGTAGTACCGTGACAATGGTTGTACGTACTGCACCTATTTTACAGTACCATACGGCACCGGTGCCGCCGCCGCCGCATGGCATGGTACAGTTTATGTGCCATGGAGGTGAAGGTACCTACAGCTGAGCAACCACATCGTTCTCAAAGGCGTGGGGGTGATCTCGGCGAGTTGCCTTAGAGATGTTTTGTCACACTCCCATCCATGTTCTCGTCGGAGTGCACGTTCCGAACATCGGCAAGTCACCTTCTGCGGTGCTTGCCTGAGTTTCATCCCGAGAAGGATTTAGCCATCAATTTCCCTCGTCAACCCTGAAGTCTACTCTTTCGAAGTGTTCTGGATCAGTCTATACCCCCGACCAAATACATAATATTCTATTTGTCTACAGTATAGTGTACAGCAGTAGTCCGCTACCTTTTGTGGGGCATGGTGACGGTAGAGTAAGACCAGCTCGTCGTGTGACGACATGCGAGCTCGCGTCCCAACATCAAAAGGGTGGGAGTAGTCTAGACAACAGGGGTGTTTCGGACTATTTGTATCCCTTGGAGTAGAGCATCTTCTCCCAGAAACAAAAGTGTGGAGGTGGTCATTATTGGCTGTATGTGTTGACGCCGAAACTGCTGTGTTTTCTTGCATGAAGATCCCCTACCCCATCTCGTGTGGTATACGCCTCGTATCGGTCTGGCCAACATGAAAGCAGCACGTCGACCTTTTGGAGCGCGTTGCAGTGCTGAAGACGCGAATGTTTGGACCCCAGGTGCGTACACTTAGCGCAAGTGGGGGTAGTTGCACTGAAATCCAACCACCACCAATGTACACGGAGCTCTCCGAAGGTAAATGTGAACGTATCACATCCATGGGACACTATGTAATGCCAGTTAAGCGTGTAGCCTACTAAGGTGGGCACCACTACGTTCTCATCTGAATGGTGCACAGAGGGAGAATATGTAGGCACGATAATTGATACCATCTCAGTCGCCGTCGCTGTCTCCACTCTCGATGAACAAAGGCCAATGCTACCACCTTGAAGCACCCTCGTTCGTTGCTACCACGGCAGATAGATATCGTACAATGCGCTTGTAATCGAGTTGGGGCGAATGCATGACAAAGCTGAATCCAACAACCCGAACCTCGTGCGTTCGGCAGAGCTCAGCCGCGCAGAAAGCCTTCAAGGACACGATCGTAGCGTGCAACTCCCTCGCCATGTCTGCCCTTGGTCGTGGCAACACGGAGCGCTGCAGAGATCTCTTGGAACGAGCGTTCCACATAGCGAGCAGCGAAACACGGCGACAGCGAAACAGCAAAAACAGCGACGGGAATTGTAGGAAAGAGGGTGCAAGTGGGAGCGGCAGCAGCGGCAACCCGGCACTCCAGATACTAACGCTTAACAACACAGCGTGCTTGCATAGGAGGTAATGCGGCGAAGCGACGGTAGATCAACGAAAAACTCTGATAATTAGTCGACACGGCTACACTAATCTCCCTTCGCACACCGCACTAAAGTTGTGTTTTTGGAGATACGACTTCCTCTTTCACGACAATGTGACCGTAGTCTATGTATGTAGTACCGCGTTGTGGAACAATGTGATGTTTCGGACGGGGTGAAGCAAGGTCAACTTGCTTGCTGGAAGGCCGGCCTTACGTGTGTTTAGCAATTCGTATAGGTGGGTCTCTACCGAATATGCAAACGAAAACAGAACCTGCCAGCATCGAGGCAGCTACACGAGCCGGCAGCTGTAGCCTCAATCATGGCCGCCAACCTAATCATTCGCCTCGTAAGTATTGTGTGCGCGGGTTGGGTGCTGAAACAACAATACCGTCTTAGCTCCAATACTGTCACACCACGAGGTCCGTGCGCTACGGTATATCGGTACATCGGAACCACCTTACAATAGGGCGGATTTTCCTCTTTGTTTCTTTTGTCTAGGCGCATCCTGCAACGTGTCCCTCTTTGAGTCTACCCCGTTCTGTTGTTCGCGCACTACGTTTTCTCGATACTGCGACGACCACGTGCTGTGACGCTGGACGCATGCACGAAGACTCGGCGAACCCAAGCGCGCTCTCCGGTGTCTAAGACGTGCGGCGGAGCTGGGGCGGCGTTCGTGTGGAAGCGAGCACCTCGAAGTAACGCACCTCAACGCTTGCGCCGTGCTGTCAGAATTGGGCCGGTGAGAGATAACACACAAATACGCTCGGGCGGTACCGCACAAATGGCACGAAAGCTTGGAAAAAGTTTACGAGCTGTTTCCGTACCGTCAGGGGGACACCACGCTCCCGATGGACTTTCCTTTCGCCTGCCATTCCTATAGCGCACGCAAAGTCAAGGGCTCACGGATAGGCTGCATCGAAAGAGGCACCGTACGGATGAAGCCTCCGACAACGTGTTCATTTATCGATGTTTTTCTCCTTGTTCTCTACCCTGTTTGTAGCCACGAAGAAGCGCTGGAGCACGCTAGATCGGCCGTGTACCATGGTCAGGAGCTCGAGGGAGCTGGAACGCATGCAGGCGTGGCAGCAGAGACGGGGAGAAACCAGGAGGGACGAGCATCGTCATCAGCAGGAGTCGGAGGGAGCAGAAAAGCACGGCTGGCGACGCTTGCGGTGTCTTACTACAATCTCGCCGTCGAGTTAGAGTACACACACCGCTACGAGGCGTGCCTCCGCTGGTGAGTGGGATCGATCGCTCGTACCGTTGAGGAGAGGGAGAAAGGTTGTGGGGTCGTGGCTGTGTTTTCAAGTGGGTATGAAAAATACGTGGGGGCCTTGATCGACGTGGGCGCTTTCTTCAGAGCTGAAAAACAAAGTCTAACGTGTGGGGCTTTGGAAACCGACGAGGGACTGGCGGAAATCTTCGAGCAACTGATGTTGGCTCTACCCCGTAGGGGGGTAACGTGTTTCGTTGTAAGAGCAACGTGCCCAGCAAAGTTGCACGGCCCCTGGTCGATGCTGGCGCTTCCATCCAAACATTTTGCGTCCTCTTGTCAAAACCGTCGGTGCTACACAACACAGGTATGGCGAGGCCGTCCAGCTGGCGCGTGATCAAGACGTGCACAACGAGGAGCTCTTGAAGACTTTTCAGCGATCTTTTGCTGGGGCAAGAAAGGTGGGCGAGTACCTGAAACTGGCCGATTGAAACACGTTGTCATCTGTGCCTCGCTGCAGGACTGTACAAGTGGATGGCGGCTGGACATCGTTATTTGTCAGTTATGGGCACTCTAGCATTGACGGTGGCATCACCACAACAAGACCAGGCTTCGGCTTCATGTTTTGCCTCGTCTTTGCTTCTGCCAACGCGTGCTTTCACCGAGAGCAGAAATATGCACCCCTCCAGCTGGGGCGATCAGGCGGCGCAAAGAAGGGTCCGTCGACAAGGGCGGTTCCCATCAGGTGCTTTTGACGTGGCACGGCTAGCATGATTGCAAGGAATGACGATCGGCAGTATTGGGTAGCATAACTAAGGTTTTCTATGCATGGTTCGCAGCAATCGGACTGAAACGCGATGGCTCGGTACCTCTTTCGTTGCCTAGCAGTCCGACCGAAGGTAGACACACGGTACACTTACTTACGATGACGCAGATTTGGAACAACCTAATAGGACCATTGGACATGCGGTCAAAGAATAGGGCGCTTGATACCTGATTGTCACAGAATACAGAAGCCAAAACCACACCATTAGACTAGGCAGCACTGACTAGTCTAGTCTAATGGTTTGGTTTTGGCTCCTATACCAGCTGATCGTGGGTCCGAGACCCAGGTTGGTTTCAGCTTTATATGAAGCATGTGGTGGCAGCGAGGCAGGTACCCGGACTTGGCTTCTTTGATCACAACAAGCTCGTCGGATGCACAGATCATGAGCATCAGCGAACAAGCTTTTCAACAACGTCTGAACTAACAACGCACCCACCACACGACATCTCCGCTACCACCCCCCCCGCTGCAACCAACGGTACCAAAAGAAGATATTACAGAGACCGTACCTCCAGCGGGGGGTATCCGTCTCCCTTCCGCGCCCTCGACCCTCTGGGTAATAACGCCCCTACCACTTCGGACGGCGGTTCGCCTGCAACCTACGGTGGCGGCAACGCCAACCGCCTGGGTCCCGAGCCCGGTAGTGGTGTTGAGCGTGGGCCGTATTCTCACCGACGAGCCGAGTGGCCCGCCTTCTGTCGAGCTCAGAGGCAGCGAGCGAGCGACGAGCGGCGGTCGCAGACAAGGAGCAACCACCCGAACAGCAGCAACTACCGAAGCTGTACTACCACGAACGGTCACGACGATGGCGGCGGTGGTGCAGTGCCGACACCAAATCCAAAAGCAATGTACCAGAGGGACTCTTTGCTGCGCCATCGCCAACATCATTGGAGAGGGATTCTTCAAGAAGAAATAGCCGGGAGGGACCTAGACAGAGCAGTCGGGACGGGGGCGCGACCACGGCCGGCGAGCGGCCGTGCTGCCGGTGACCCGACGATGCGACCAAAGCTGTCGCGAATGAGGCCGGCATCCGCCGACATCGTGAGGGAACGGGACCGAGGCGTACAAGGACGAACGTGCTTCGATCAGATTGATGTCATTCAGGAGGTTGCCGATGAGCCCTCGGTGGTGGAACCAACGTGGCAGCAGCACCAACAGCAGCAGAAGCAGCAGCAGCAGTGTCGGTGGCGGCAGCAGGAGCAGCTTCCTGGAGAGAGGGGAGGGGTAGAAATGACCGGCCCGCCTATGGAAAGCGCTAGGCATGTACCGGTGGTGGGTGTGGAGGTGGCGGGGACCAACAGCGGGCGGCAACAACGGCGGCGTGCCGCTGACTCTTCTCGACGGCCAAAAAGCGCCTACCCTCGACTGGAGGACGGGGGGGCTCGACCGGGGGGTGACGGCGCGTTGTTCGGAATGGGCGATCCGGGTAGCAGTTGTAGGAACGGCAACAATAGGAGCTCTCGCGTTGGTCGTATCCGGTCGCTCAGCGCACGAGCATCGGAAAGCCTCGCGTCGTTAGCGCCTCCGTTGAACAAGGCTTCACGTGATCGTGATGATGGCGATGACCAGCGCTCGGGAGAGTGGAGGGGGGCGAAAGAGTTGACTGTGACGAAGAAGGTGGAGGAGAACGGTAGGGTGGCGACCGAAGGAGTGGCCAACGACAAGTCTTCGACATGGCGAGGACCAAGTGGTAATGCGACGGGGACGATGATGACAAACAGCACGTCACCTCGGTCACGCTCGGAGAAGACGGGTGTAGTAGAAGGTAGTGACAAGCCCTGCAGCGGCATGGGCTTGCCTAGTGGCCAAACTAACCGCTTGGATTCTTCGAGGTCTGACTCCCAAAGCAAAAGAGAATGTTCTGTCGAAGAAGAGGTGGAAGCACCCCGGGAAACGACGCAGACCGATCTGCAGGGGCGAACATCACAAGCAGCAGCAGCAGCAACAACAACAGCAACAACAGCAACAACAGCAACAACAACGGCACCAGCGGCAGCAACAACAACGACAGTACCGACGGCAACAACGGCCGCGAGGGCGAGGAAGTCAACAAAGTTCAGGCAAGTTGCAACCCGAAGCTCTCCCTCGCGCAGCAAGAAAGGCGGTTCGCCGCCCGGCGGCAGGCAGAGAAAGAAACTACCTGGCAACAGGACAGACCAAGACAAGCGTCGAGAACCTACCCCTCGCGACAACGGTCGCGGCGGCAAGCTCTACCGTATCGATCCCGACTCCGACGGGCAACGGCAGCACCAGAGATCGACGCTTTTGGGCTGCTCGGAGCCCTGCTACCACGTCAACAACATCGATCCGTGTCTCGACAACGGCCGCGACGGCAAGCTGTACATGGAGCTGGACAACGGCCGTGACGGAAAGCTGTATCTCGAGACCGAAAGCGTCGACGGAGAAGCACACGGGAAAGACAAAGTAGCATCATCGCCTGCGGAGTGGGCGGCGGCGACGGTGAAGCATGACGGCGAGCAGGAGGGGGAACTTGGGGAAACGAGAGCTGAAAAGCTTGAAGCAAAAATAGTCGACAAGGTGGATTCGATAGAGCAGAGGGAAGCGCCGGGCAAACCGGGAAGCGTTGAAACGCCGCCGCCGGAACGACTTCTCGCCGAGGCTGCCAGGACCATCCAAAAGGCGGTGAGCGGCGCGGTTCTTCGACGACGGTCCAGTGGGGAAAAGGGAGTAGTAGAAGGTGGAGAGGGAGAACGCAGGAAGACATTACCAGAATTGTTTCTGTTGGACCGGGACAGGAGTGAGTGTCAGGCGCTGACGGAGAGGGGTCTGGGCCGCGAACAGCAGGGAGGTTTGACCCTGGGCACGGAAAGCGTAGCTGTTCCTGTTTCGGAGGTGAGGAGACGGAGTGTTGCGTTAATGTGGCTTTGTATCGCTCTGTGCATGCAACAATGTTTGTCAGACCCTATAAACGAGGAGCAAAGAGAACAATGACGCCATGACAGCAGTGCCCCCCCGTGCGCCAAAACCACGCCATATGAGAATGGCAGTATCGTAGCGCATCGTTCCCCATTCACTCCCCATCCTGAAGGACAAACGATGTTATTGCCCCCCGCCTTCCGCTCTTGCTCTTTCGGTACCCATGCAATGGTCGTATTGGGCGGGGTGGAGAACCTGAAGCTCTCCACTTTCTCGTAGTGCATATGTACATGATCAAGGAGTTCCACGAGACAGCTATTCAGTATACTAATGATGAAGTAGCCAGATAGGGGAAGCATGCCGAGTTGTTAGAAGATGTCATCAACATGCGACAGCGTACACAAGAGGTGTATCGGTCCGCCTCGCATAAAACGGTTCTCAATGAGATGGAGATTGCACAAACACGTGACGGCGCTTCGCGATTGGTGCTATGAGAGAATGGTCAGCAAGCTTCCGGCTGCTCCTCCGTCCCGGCCTTTGCCGGGATGAGCGATGTGCGGTCGAAACATGTCTTGAGTGCCCCCCCCCATCCCCGTCCCTCCGACTCAGGAAGTGCGTACTTCTGCCGACGCTGTCGCCAAGGAACGCCGCACCCGTGCGCGCGAGGCAATCAATCGCCACGTTCTAGCAGCCTCCGCCATTCGCACCTGGATCGCTCGCGCGTGCTTGGCGCGACGACTCCGCCGAAGGCGTCGCGTCCGAGATGACCTCAAGGTCCGGTGGGAGCCTGAGATCCACCGAATAGCGGCGACTCGGATACAGGCGTTGGCGCGAGGGGCGGCGGGGCGGCGGGTGCGGGGGAAGGTAGAGCGGGCGGCGGTCGAGATCCAGCGGGTTGAGAGAGGGCGGAGGGGACGTTCGGCGGCGAATGAGCTTGCTCGCAAGAGGTTTGTACTTTGATGAAGCAATGACGGGTGGGAAGCGGGTGAAATGAAGACCGCGGCAGTGTCTGGTCAAGAGTTCGGTGTTTGGTTCTAAGGCTCGCACCCGAAGTGTGATTGCCCCTAGTTGTGGATGACTAGAGAAACGCGTAGGTGCGCAGTGTGGATGTCAAGAAACACGTTTAGCTGACGACAGCGGGTACTCACCTGACGTAGTGATGCGCGACAATGTTGTGCCGTTCGTGCTATTTGGATGGCTCAACTCTTTCACGGGCATGAACGACAGCCTTGAGGAGCGCAGTGCGTCGTGCGAGGATATCCAGAGGTTGTTCCGGGGTCACCAGGGTCGTCAGCAAGCTCTGAAGAAGAGGCAAATTGCTCGGGAGGAGGACATGGCGCGCCAGGGCGCGGCGGGAGTGCTGCAGGGGGCTTGGCGTTGCCGCCCGAGCAGACGCCAGCTCGTCCTGCAACAGCAGCAGGAGCAGGATCACACCGGAAAGGAAAGTGCCACAGAATCATCGTTAGAAGGCGTAGTTTTGCCTTCCATGACACCTGCGGCCGGTGCAAAGCACAACCCTTCAGCCGAGGAGCCACCTCGCCAGCAGCTGTGGCAAGGAGCTGGAACGAGTGGTGCAGTATATAGCTTATGGGGCGCGTTCACCTCTCTGGTGGCGACAGCAGCGACCCGTCGCGTCGTGCGTAGAGCCGTCGGCCGGGCTCTCTTTTCTCCGGCGGTCGCCACACTTGCCGCTTTCAACAGAGGCTACCGCAGCATCTTGTCGTCGACGTTACCGACGTCACCGTCATCGAGTAAACGAATGATTACTCCACCCGACCCGGCGTCTTTCGACTGTGCGCTGAGAACCAAGACGAAGCTGGCCCTGGCCACCCGTAGGATGGCCGGGGCGGTACGCGCGCGCACAAGCTCGATCTTGGCCGTTCGATCCGTGGCTAGGAGTTTATTGGATGGTGTCCACGGTGACGGTGAAAGGGGGGCTACTGCTGCTGCTGCTGCGGGGACTGGTTGTGGTGGTGGCGCCACGGAAGACGACGAGAGGCGGGGAGGCGGGACGACGAAGAGGGTTGCTGAAGAGACTGTGTCTGTGGTGTTGGAGATGGCTCAGGTGTGTGTGTGTGTGTACCTCAGGCCTTACAGAATTCTCAATGAAACTTGAACACGTACAGGAAGAGTTGTATGATGTGTTCAATACCACGTGTCAAGATGGCGAAGATCGTTCACCTGCTCTGTAGCATTGGCGTCTTCCGCAGGCAGCTTGTGGCGGGACGGGACCATGACGTTGTTGGAGAACACTCGAAACTCAAGGAAGCTGCCGTGTGGACTCACAAGCTCCACCAATAACGCATTTATCTCCACTTTCGTCTTTTCGTTCTATACTCAGGAATGCCTGGAAGCCCTCAGCAGCCTGCACGATGATAATCCATTGGCTGGGCTAAGTGATGGAGCGTTCGCGGAACGGTTGACGATGGTTTTCTCGGGCACGCTTGAGGTAGGTGGAATGTGTCCGCCACGCGAGGCTACTCGAACGCGTACCCCCATAGCAACGTTGATATGACGGAGGGAAAAGCAAGAAATGCTCACGCCCTCCCCCCGCCTCCACCGTTTGGCAGAGCTTAGTAGACCACCTGGGTGAGATGGAAGCGTTGAACATGGCGCGTGGACAAGAAGGGAAAACGAGTACGGTCATTGGTGGTGACGACGGGAGTGGGAGTCTTCTGGCCTGTCTCACCCATGATCGGCATGATCCCTCTCTCCGACGACCCCTTGTCCTCCCCGCGGGGCTTCTCGGAGCGCTTGCTTCATCTGCGACGGCGTCTCTGCTGTCCCACCCTGACATCTTCGAGCTCGTCGGTCAGAATCTCAGCCATGACGAGGAAAACTCGAGTGGTGGTAGTGTTATTGATCGCCCGCGCAGTGGTGAGTGGGATGGGAACGGTGGGGAACGAAGCAACGACGAGGACTGCTATTCTCGACTCGTGGCGGAAGCGTACTGCACCTTCCTACTCGTTTCGAGGAACGGTGAAGGCCGTGGCGGCGGTGACAGCGACAACGGCGACGGTGCCAAGCTGTCCGAGGGCGAGACTTCCGAGCCCGGTTGTCAACAACCTGAGAAGGGCGGCGAAGGAAAGATCTCGATCACGGCTACGAGAAGGCCGCAACAACCTTCTTCTTCGCCGTCGCCTACTACGCTGACGAACGGGCGTTTGCAATTCTTGCGGTCGATCACTGAGCTGATCGACCGCGCTGCGGAAGAGATAGTGCGCGGTGTGGACTCGTGTGCTCGTCTTGGCGGTGGCAAGTGCTTCGACGACGACGTCCGCCGAATGACGAACGATCTGTGGAGGCTGGCCCGACGTCGAATGACACCGTCTGCCGCCGTCCGCGACGACGAAGACGAAGACGCGGAAATCAAGTGAGAGACAGAACTCTCTCAGCGTCTGTGCTACAGTGGTTTTTGATTTTTTTTTTTCAAACGCCCGTAGCCCGGGTGAAGTTCAGCTCTCCTCATTTACACGATTGTCGTCCGTAGACCGTGAGCCAGTTCTTAGGGGGGCTTGCTCAATATTTCGCCCGATTCCTCTGGAGATAAAATAGAGTGGTAGGTTGTCACCTGCATAATAGAATAAGTGTGTGAGACCCATATCCACGAACAGTGCTCTTCGTCTAGCCTTGTCCCCGGCTCGCGGCTAACTCGTGCTGGTCCCTGCTCGCGTACTGGACTTCTCTCGACTGCTACGTGTCGTGGGTAGGCGGATGACTCGCGCCGCGATCGTTATTCAACGATGCTCTAGACGATACCAAGCACGAAAGCCTAGATAAACGGCTACATCTCCACCGTTATCATCGGCCCTTGGACCGATTACAAGCGAGCCCAGCGCCACAACCGACGAACAGCAGCAGGAAAGGGGGGAATAATACGTCGAAAGGGCGAGGCTGAGGTCGGGGGTGATGGCGGTGGCCGGCGGGGGTCGCCAGTGAAAATGCAGTAGACGATTTGCGTGAAGATAATTTGGCGTCAGTGTCATGGTAGAGAATCGGTTCGCAGATCGTTTCTCGTTTCGTCTTCGCCAAGCGAGGGGAAAAAAACGTTCTCGGTCCCGAAGATGGCTAGTGGTGTGGTGGTGGTGGTGGTGGTATTACCCTATTGATGTGCTCGCAAGAGAGGGCGAGTGAACAAAGTACAGCTCGCACAGTAGTGACCATCGTGTCGTTGTTGTCGTGTACGAACGAGAAAGACAGGGTAGTCTAAAGTGGTTTGCCGATGTTGCCTCGCTTATTTAGCATTGATGGTGAGCTTGGAATGTACTACCCCGGTGGAGTTTCTTGGGATGGCGATGGCCTCTCTTCGAATCCTACTTCAGAACTTCAAACGCTGGCGTACATGCCTCTCGTGTTTAAGCTTTGGTGTAGGCGAAGACTACTGTAGCACGTAAGATTTTCCCGGTCGCACGTGGAAAGCCCGAATCTCTCTCTGCTCTCCGCGACCTCTGGTCGACAATGTGTCAAGTCTGTTGTTTCCCCTGAACACTGCCACATGCATGAGAGCCCCAAGATAGGATATTGTTTGAAAATGAAGCCATTGGTACATCACCTACGTCGTGTCGATACCTTCGACAAACGCACTACAGTGGTACATACACCAAGAACGACGGCGACGGAAAACGGTACACGTTGAAGACCCCGTCAAGGGCGTGGGAGCTTTCTTCCACATATTGGAACAAACCACTGATGGTGGGGATTGGACAGCATGCATACCTCGCCAACACTTTACTTAAGCTGCGCCCCTGCATGATGAGAAGATTAAATAATCTAATCTAAACTAGTTTTAGCCCCCAACCGCTGTAAAAAACACTGAACACGCTCTCGCCACTCAACGTGTGTATTTCGTATGCTGACCGCCCTGAGTGCAAATATCTCCCATCCCTGTGCTGCAAATTATCTACAACCTTTCTCGTCGCCGGCCACCCTGCCACACGCGTTAGCTCCCCTCTGCGTTCCATCTGATATTTTCTCGCTCATGAACCGTTCCGACACGTACCCGTCTGCAATACCAAGGATACTGAGAGACCACCAACAAGAACCAGAAACACAAAACCGGTAGCCTATTCCTAAAAATGCCGATATTAAAATAACACCCAGCGCGGTGCGGCACAACGCACGCAACCGTTGCCAACATTTCCATCTCGGAGCGCCGTACAGATCCAGCCGCCGGAGGCCGCCCGAACCAAAGTGCGCCTCAAAAACTCGTTTGCATAGCTGCGCCGCGCGTCCTGACGCGTCCGGTCCCTTGCCCCTTCACAAAAAAAATAACGAATCCCAGCCTTCTTGAGTAATGTACAAACGTATTTTGGTTACTATTGCCCCCCTTTTGCCGTGTTCCTTGTCGGTACCCTCGCCCATGCCCACCGGCCCAAACCCCAAAACAAGCCCCGTACACAGTACTGTACGCTCACCACCCGACACCCAACCCAGAAGCCATACAAGGTTCTCCATTGATACAACAAAAAAAATGTAGCCTTCGCCAGCTTGTCTCTAGCTAGCGTTTCTCCGCCCGAAAGTCTTGGCTTTACGAGCGTCGGTTCCCCAATGAGCGTCTCAAGTTTCCCCTTGGCTTGACAGCTGTGCACTGCAGCCTTCGGAGACCTACGCATACTAGCTGGCGCTGCTGAAGTCGGCGGAGAGGTCGTTCCTGACCCACTTGTCCAGAAAATCGTTCATCCGCTCGAACAGCGTCCCGTCCTCCCTGCGTGCGCACCGTCGACAACGACAACGACAACGACCGCAACAGCAGCGACGGCGCCACAAAAACGATCAGGAAGGTCAACAAACAAACCGGGGCGACACGCACAGGTCGCCACCATGCCAAAAATTTCCCTGCAACCGAAAACAAGGTCACACCAACGCAGGAAGAGAACCAACAAGTTGGCGGGATGTACACGGCAAAAACAGGCGGGGGGGGGGGCAACAATTCAGAATCATCAACCCATCGGGGGGACTGTAGATCGATCGAGCGTGCGCTATCGCTAGCGATCATAAATGCTTGCGGTCACATCGCTAGCTCTTCATTTGTCGCGAGCAACCTAGAGACTAATCTTGCTTCATATCCTACCATGTGTTCACTCATACTATACAACCAACACTCCACTGCCGGTGCAGCACAAGGCAGCCAGAACGGACGTGTCACCTTGAAACAGAACACGCAAAAACGCACACATGGATAATAAAATGCTGAACCTGCCTTTACTGTCAGCAAGGCCTAAAACACGGTACAACATCGTACAATCATCCACGCAGAGCTCCACTCATTGCAGTGCATGGGTGCCAACAGCGCAACACAAATTACCTCAGCAACGCCTCGATGTTGTTGTGCCCCGCGCCGTCGACCCAGAAGGGTTTTGCCCGCCATTTCGTCGGCGTTCCGAGGAACAGTTCTTGGCCGTGCCAGAACGGTACTACCTCATCCCTGGTCGTGGTCGGTGTTCGGTGTAAAGTATCAGAATGTGTTCTACCACGCAAGATGATGCTGAAGGTATCAAAAGACGATGTCTTCAAGTCTTTCATCAAAGTATGGATATATTTTACAATGGCCACGAGAGACTACTGGCGACCAGGACCCAAGGGGATGGGAAAAGGTATCCACCGCTGATTGGGACACCAATTCAACACAAGACAATACGTAGTCATCTGCTCAAACCAGTTGAATGCGATCGATCGGCTTTCTCAACCGTGACGAATCCTGATCGGGAGTCGAGCGTATGAAAGGCAAAAGCTTTTCACCGCAGAGAGGCACGGAGCAAAGGCAAACTCCATGGACAGGGGTATACGATCATTCAAGTGCATTACAGGCAATTTCAACACACCAGAGCGTTGTTGTACCAGTCATGCAATGCAACATCGGCACACAAAAAAATCACAGCACGCGTGAGGGAGACGAAAGAAGAACACACGTGAAGCAGCACCGTCTGCTTGAAGGACACTCTCAAAAGCAAAAAAAAAGAAAAAAGAAGACAGCGGCCGCACCTAGTCCCGTGGATGATGAACATCGGGCACGCCACCCCCTTGACCCTGTCGATGTTGGGAAACATGTCCCCCGGCATCGTGAAGCGGAAGTTGAACGCGACTCGAAAGGCGGAGGCCAGGGGGCTCTGTAGCATCACGCCCCCCAACTCCACGCCGGCCGCGGCCAGCTCCTGCGCTAGCTGGCACGTCGGGCCGCTCCCCAGTGACCGCCCGTACCTGGCATCCATCGCGAAAAGGGCCGGCACATTGGACGCGGAAAAAATGGCGGCGTGCGTTGCCGTCATGAGATCATCAGAAAAAAGAGGGTCGATTGTCTCGCCAATACGACAAGAAAAGGGTGGTAACAACAGAGTTGGAAAAAACTGTCGCACAGCGGGATTCAAAAAAGAGGGAAACGATATGACAGCACAACCTAATAGCATGGCTGCCTCCAGATGTCTGCTGCCTGTTGACAACAACACTGGATAGCGCATAACCGTCGATTCAATCTACTCCGGCGTCCACCCCAACACCAACACCACAAACTGGACGAAAACGACACGACCAAAGCGCGCTACGGACACCGAACCCTATTTTAGGGTTGCACCTCTATCTCTGCCGTATCAACGCACTCACAGCACGATCTGCTTTGGAGGCGTCTTCTTCTGCGTGGTCAGGTAGTCGTACGCGGCGCGGATGTCGGCGTAGCAGTTGTCCTCAGACACGGTCCCCTCGCTCTTCCCGTACCCCGAGTACTCGTACGCTAACACGTTCACCTGCCGCCGCCCGCCCGCCCGCCCGACCGACCCGAGCAAAAAGACAAATCAGCGGACCACGTACATATATATGCCGAACAGGCCGCGCGAGTTTGCTGCCATCATGAGACACAATCACAAAAAACGAAGAAAAAAAAACAACACATATTCTACACCGGTCCTCCTCCACACATGCGTCGAACTTGCTGCCGTGTGCATGCTTTTCTCAAATGATGGGCATCGACCGCGCTACACAACCGGCTGGACCAATGACAAGATGGCATCGTTTCAAACAGAGAGAGAGAAAAGTCGAGGGCACGCCTCTTGATTCCGCGGGGCCCCCTACCGATAAGAGGGTCGCGGAGGATGGTTCACGACAGGGTCCAGTCTCCGGATTCGGAGTACCTTGTTGAGGAGAACGACACACAATTCTCCACCGCCCGTGGCATCCCTCTTTCCCTCTTTGCTTCCCTAGCAACATCGACCGCGGCTGACCTACGAAAAGGCTCAAGACCCCAGCCCTAGCAGGGACCAAAAAACGGCCCCAACAACAACGTTTTCTGTTGAGCGCCCCCCCCAGACGGGCGGGCCGCGGGAAGAGGTCGGGCGCCAACGGTGACACGATACAACTCTAAATAATGGAAACGGATTTCGATGATGACACGCTACTACTGTCCAATTCGAAGAGAATACCACGACCTTCCACACGATGATGACATCCAGCCCGAAATAAAGGCCTCGCAGCTGTGTAGGGTAAAGGAGAGGAGCAAATTCGTCGTGCTAAACTTCCTCGGACGGCGGCATCGACATATGAGACTACGCACATTCAGTTGTCGGCTGAAGTCGTAGAACCACTCGTAGATCAAGCCGAGGTCTGTCCGTCACACCGCAAACAACCAAGCACGGGTAGGGGGTAGGGTCGAGATTAGGGTTCGGGCGGGCGATGGCAGGCAAGGGAGGTTAATAGCAGCAGCGGCATGTCAACTGTTCCGATCTCCGAACCACCTCTGGGGCGGTCCCCGCATACACACTCCAACCTGAGCATACAACGAAGCCTCACTACACACATACAACACATGCTGTTCAAACCGCACAAAGGACACCCTTGCTCTCGTGGCCAAAACAGTTCTACTGCTGTAGTTTAAGGCGTGTTTGGAGGCCGTGGAATGTTTCGGGGCACCTCCACGCTTCTTAAGGGGTACAATTTCCGCCGAAAACAACGCGTCATTCGTGCTGTTGCGGAACAGTGCTGCAAAGTCTACACTGGTCCAAAGATACTCAGAAACGAAGACGGACAAACTGTTCCTATTTTGCACGGCCACAGACCAGCAACTAGAGAACGGCACGCGTGGACGCGAAAGGTACACCCTGGGAAAAAGTATATCGCTAAAGCACTCGAGCGGTACGTCTTGTCCGAGGGATATTGGCGAGACCCTACTATCCACTGTACGTGCTCGCAAACCTCTTTCATCACGCGGTAAGAGAAATCGGGCAGAGTCGACATTTGGTGTCGCTGAGAAACCACACCTGACGTCACCGAGACCAACAGCAGTTGAACAGGGGTCACGCAAGGCTTAAAATATCAAGTCCCTCACCTTCAGCGTTCCCGTGGCTAAACAAAATCGTAATCTGCGAGCTGCGGCTCCACCACAACCATCGCCGCCGCAGGCACCACCACGATCAAAAACAAGGAGGGGGGGGAGACAGGGGTGATGTGGTTGGTTAGGTGGGTAAAAAAGTGGGTGCACAAAAGTCCTGTTTTTCTCTTCTCGAGTCTCAAGACCGTCAACATTTCGGGATATCGGCACGCACAGCATGTTTGCTGCAGTGGATCCTGTGAGTGTTACGGATGCCTTTGACACTGTTGCGTCTATTGCCACCGCTAATCTTTAGAGAGGTATTATAGGGATCACCACGGCCACCAATATTCATTCACAACCTCCTGGACCTACGAATTAACAGCAGGTCGGTGGTCCCGTCGCGCGAGCTGAGGGTTACCGTTACGTCGCCGTACCCTACGATAGGGAAGGTTTCGCCGGCGGCGACGCGCACACATCGATCACATTCCTCGTAACGAACGAACCCTTCAGAGTTTGCGAACACGTGGGTGGTAGCGCCGGCATCGGCAACATACCTCCCCCGCCTGGCCTGCTCTACCAAGGAGCAAGTGTGCATAGGTGTATATGGCAGCCGTTCACGACCACACGTTCTCCGCAAAACACAAGTCATCAGTTAGACCTGCGGTACTCGTCGTGCAAACCTGCAACCTCGAGCGTTTCTTTGTGGAAGGTTTTGTTCTGGGGTTGCGATCAACGGCAACTTCCAATATTTGTGGCAATCGTTCCTCGCCAGAACAACTGCACCCGTGATTTTTTTTTTTGTACGCGAGGAACGCGATGATGATGGTGGTAGGAGCACCGATGTTGCTTGAACCGGCAGCAGGCACCCGTGGCAGCGGCATTGCCCGAGTTGTTTCACACACATCCATCTCACTACACACCCTGAACCAGAACATTTTCAGGAGCCTTGGTGCTCTTTGCCCTTTGCCATGGATGAACGTTCCATAAGGAACGGTTCAACATTTACTGTTGGTTTTAAAATGTTCGTGCGGCGGGACCAAAATGTTGAACCCTGTTTCGTAATGTCCAGGAAAAGCTATTTTGTGCGGGATCGGGTCGGCCAATCACAGGAGAATCCCGAGTTCCCTGTTCCCTGTCCCTTTTCTTTTTCAGGGGGTGATCCTAGTCCCCGGTTGTAGCTAAAGCCCTAATGCGTGCATACATGGGACGACGAGTGCACTTTCGTTTGTGTGGATGCATCCTACCGCCACATCTCACGTCGGCCTGGTTAGGCGTGGCTGCACCGCCAAAGTCTGAATGATCCAGCAGCAGTCGCCCCTGTTACAAAGGAAAGCGTGTACCATGGTGTATTTTAGTGCCCAAGGATTTGGCCCGCCATGTATTGGGTACCCGGCAGACATTAGAGTTTGACAGACACAGCTTGAGTATTCCATCTATGTCACGCGACTTGACCGGCCTTATACATGGTTACCGCCCTTTTATACAGGGTTACCCAGCTCGGGCTTCACCGCTTCACCGGCCATGTTCCTTTTGGCCGTTGTACAGGCGCACCACTACACACAACTTCAAGCTACTGTAGAGCCCACAGCAGAGTTCGTCCATAAAACTGATGCTAGCGTTCACGCCGCGGGTATGCATATGAATGGGAGTTTTGCTTTTTCTCCTCCGTTTCTGCAAAAGGTGTGCGCGGCAGCGCACTATGATGCAGTTGGTCGATGTGGAAACGACGACTTACACGGTACTCTGGTGGTGCCAAATACAGTTCCGAACTCTTGCCCATCGACAGGGGAAGTAAACACCGACCGTTGCTGTCTTGTCCAGAGGGCGGGAGCATCAGGCACCACGCGTCTAGTTCGAGTGTCGTGGTACAGTGTGCATATCCCGCCCAGCAAACTCTAGCGGAGCAGGCGGGTGCTGTAAGGCCACACGGCCACCACATGCCCCGGGGCAGCAGAAAAAACACTCCCGTGTGTCAATACGGAACCGCACCAACCCGGCGTCGTGGAAACAGCAGTCGCAACATGATCAACGTCCGCCTTGTTAACTCCCCAAAGGCACACACCCAACGAGACGTTATATACCACACAAACTCCACGCCAACACATTACCTGACGGGTGAGAGGTGAGGGGACAGAGGAGACAGAGAGAACGGCATGGCACCTGCCAAGCGTTGTGCGGGTTGTCCATGCACTCCTTCCTCTGTCCCATCTTCGCAGCGGGAATTTCGCCCCTCGTGTCATGTCCATCATCTACCCGCTACAAACGTGAAGTTCCGGTTTGGCCGGAATGCAGCAAACCAACGGTTTGGCCGGAATGCAGCAGACCAACCAGCTTCGGCACACCGCACACACCTTCGTTCGACGTGAAACACAGGAATACGGTGCTGATTCCGCGTCTGCAGCCAGAAGTGCTTCTTGTTGTGCAGAAAGGTCGCCGGCGGGGGCTGGAAGACCAGCGTGGAGATTGTGCCCCCCATTTCTCCCCTCTCTCTCTGCTTTTGAATCTCTCAGCGTCGGCCCTTACCAATCTCCGATGCCTCCCAAAAGACCACAACACAGCTTTGTCTTCGGAAGAACGCCCTCACCGAGAGACGAGCGCAGAGAAACTGCGTGGCACGGCCGATCGTCGTGGTCGTGCTTGCTGTTGCGGCCTGTGGGGCAGCAATTCGTAGTGCAATCACGGCGCCCCAAACACAGGTGCCCCCCGGATATTCCAATTGAGACGCCCCCTCTCCGCCCGCGAAAGATTTAGATTCCTGTTTGTTCTTCCGCAAAGCAAGGCCAACGAAACGTGTCTCCGCCATATGCTTTAGAAGACGGAGGACAAGCTTATCAGCGTTCTTGACGGTCACCATGACGAGAGGGTTGTGTTTGTTGTTGAAATTCAAGCTCGGGACAGCAGTAAAGCGTGTTTTGGCACTAACTGATGGGAACATGTATGTGCGGTCGTACTTCCTCTTCTCGTGGGTCGGATCCATGGACTAACAGAATCTTTGTTCCTCGGCCCACGCGGCGCTCTTTGACTCGTCTAACGGATATAATGTTCGGCCCAAGATGAGCACCTTGGAGAACGAGCGAGAGGGAAGGGTTCCATCTAAGCGCTAAGTTAAGGAGAAAGCGAGAGAGAAGGAAGTTGTTGCCTGTAAGCGGCGATAACCATCTCAAGGAATGCGTGTTTTCTTACTGTGTCCGTGGCGAGTGGACCGTCTCAAGCCACGTTTGTTTGCTCATCATCGAAGTTACGCCATCCGGGTTGACAGCTTCGAAGTGAAACGCACCCACCAACAGAATCCGGAAGAAGCAATGGGCACATTGCCACTGCTTGCATCCACCGAGGCGATGTGCGGATGAATGACCCTCAAAGGGCGCCGTTATCCCGAGAGGCGGACAACGCCAAAACCACAGGTATTTTTTCCCGCTCAAAATGCATTTAGCGCAGGGCCCTCTGTATTCCCTTTTGTTGACGCGACTCCATCCACACCCGAAAAGACACAAACTAGCCGGGGGGGACAAAGTCACACCGATGGTGGCCCCCGATCGCTGCACAACAAGCTACGACAACCACCACGACAGCCTCTGATCGAACAAACGCCGACGCAATGCGGCAGCTACAGGCTAAAAATAGCCCACGTCACCGTCCTGCTACTCCACCGGAAAGCTAAATGCCTCAACAAGACCGCTTCGGCGCCTAGCACTGCCCCCGACATTTCGTCCCGGCCGGAACAAGACGAGGTGGTAGGTCAGCTGCAGCCAATTCGCGCCTCTCGTTGTGCATGGCTCCAAACACTGCCGTGGTGTGTCTCACTCGTAGGCATGCGACCGAAAAAGCCACGTGCCTATTTAGTCCGACTCCTCGCCGTCGTCGCCGCCCGCGGCGGCCTTGCTGGCCGCGCGCTTGCGGGCGACACGTCCGGGCCGTCCCTGGCCGTACGGCGAGGTGATGGAGAAGTCGATGTGCTTCTCGGAGTCCATACGGACCATGAACTGGGGCACGTTCACGAGCTGCTTGCCCACGCTGTTGGGAACAGGTATCATCGCAAGGGAAGGGTAGGAATGAGAGAAGAGTAGCGCATGACAATGAGGCATTCCGTATCGCGGCAGCGGCTGCACATGACCTCAACGATTTGGCGATGCAACCTCTCGAGAAGCACAGCAAGTCGTGAGAAAAGTGCACACATGCTATCCCACATCTCTGCAAGGTCCTGCCCATTTCTACACGCTTGGACACATTAACGAACAAGAACCTCGAGCAGCCGCCGACTTCTCAGAAGACCAAAAAAGGGGGTTGACTCGAGCACCTCAAAGAACAAAGAAACGATGCTGGTGTTCGGTAGCTTGTTTGATTAAACTGGTAGAGGCGCAGCACCGGACGCTGCACTACTGGACAACCACCGGGTGTACGTTACGAAATAAGGATTTCCCGATCCATGCAACAACTTTGACCATATGGGACTCACCGGATGTGGCGGTGCTTGATCAGCACACGGGCGTGGTGGATAGACTTGGCCAGACCCTGCTTGAATACCTGAGGAATTGTGAAGGGCGAGCGAAACATCGGGCAACGAGGTGTCACTTCCGCATCGTTATTCCAAGGACATCCAAGTGCCAGACGGCGTAGCGAGCAACCCACGCAATATCTGTGAGCCACAGGACGTGCATATCAGCAATATTTCGTCAAATAACACATCGACCCAAAGACAAAACAAACCACATAATTGGGCATTGTGTCTGCAGTGAACTAACAAGTATCGTTAAAGTGGTCGGAAGACCCGCCAACGTGGAACCGGTCATCACACGCGTGTAAACAGAGTCATCAACAATGTTCACGTGTCTACCAGGCAGATCAGAGTACCACGGCCGTGGCAAACACTGTACGACATGCGTGCAGGCAGAGCTCAAACCATGTTTGGCCTTGTTACACCAGAACGACTATCCACCCTTGCGCTTGTTGGCTTTTATCGAAAAAAGGCATACTCATCATGGTATGAAGCTCACACGGAGGTGAGAGCTGCACGTATCTGCAAGTAGGCCACCATGGTTCCACCACCCTAAGCTTCAAACGGGCCTGTAGCCGCGGCACGTAACGTGGACTACCGCAGCCAAGGGAGCTTCCGTAGTTAAACATCCTCGCAAACACTGGGTGTAACCAAACAATCGCCACATCCGATGCAACACCCAAGACACCCCAACCAACTACCCCACACCACTGAACCACACCCCAACCTTTGATAGATATGCAACACAACGGCACGGAACATAAATACTCGACCACAAAAACAAGCACCATACAGCGACGACACACCTTGGTCTGAAGCCTCCTCTCAAGCATCTTCTCGGTGGTGAGCTGAAGCACGAAGTCGAGTTCCTTCTCGTCCTCGCCGAGGAGACCGAACCGGGACATGCGGCGCAGCAGGGCGGGGCCCTCGAACAGGCGCTTGGGGTCCTTGGTGTCGAGCGTCAGCAGCTGGCGCGCGGCCTACAGCAGCGGCGGCAGGAGCATCAGCAAGATGTTACGCCACAAAACCACGCCATGACGAGAAAGAGGAGGAGAAAAGGGCGGCATCATTGAGTATCGTTCGCCAACACAATCACTGCCCACCTGACAAGATCTGAGAGGGTGACGAAATCTTAATAGGTGGGATGTCCAGCATTTTCGCTTGGAGTTGAACTCGCTTTCTCTGTCGCGAGACGAAACAATCGCGCTGGAATATACATCAATGCTGGCGGCGTTGGGCCTCGCCTTGGTTGTCCACGCGCTCGTGGAACCGTTCACGCAAGGCATAGTTCTAAAAAACATCTGAGGAAGAGAAACGGGACGCTTGGTGGCACGCCACCTCGGCCTTCGGTTGAAAAGGCAACACCGCCAAGTTAAGCCTTCTACCTTCAATCGTATGCTTGTGTACACAGTATGGACGCTGGACTGAAGGTAGGGCACTTACATTGGTACGATTCACCCATTGTTGTGAAAATTGTTTCTTACGCTGACCCCTTTGTTCAAATGAGATCTGTAAATCCATGCTCTTGTGGGCTGTGAACCTTACGCACGAGGCTTCACAAAATTCGAGGTTGTAAACGGCCGACTGGCCACGACGTTGTTCTCAACAACAGACGGGATTTACAACCGCAACCAGCTCAGTACCCTCCTCCTGCACCCGCAACGCAACGCATGGGCTGCCGCCTCCCAGCAAAACGCAGGGTTCTAGGCACTCCAAGGGTGTGCAAATCCCTCGTGTAAAGAGAACAACCACTCACAACCTATGATACCAGCCGACCCAACATAACCCGTCCAGTCAGTCCGCCACACTCCTCTCATGTGGTCTACACTTTTGGGGAGAAAACGCCGACTGTGCCACCAGGAGCAGTCCACCCTCTGTTGCTTGGGGCCAAATTGCACTACAACAACATTCAGATACCGGGCAAATGCATCAGCACACCAGAACTGCCCAGCGAGAGACGCAAAAACCACTGGCACTTTGCCTCGAGAACGCCACACACAGACGGACGGCTACACTGCCGTTGAGCACACCAGGAAAAACCAATCGGTCGTTGTCCGATCGAGCGATGTATTTCTCACTCCTCCAGTCTCACTACGGCACGCGTGCCCCGGCCCTTGAACCCACCTTACGGATCTTGGCCAACGCGAACTGGACACGCCAGATCTCGCGCTTGCATCGGAGGCCGTACTCGCCGCAGAGCTTGAGCTCCGAGTCGAGGCGTTCCTTCTCGTACGGCCGCCTGGGGGTCTTGAAGGTCTTCCGGTCTGCTCACGACGAAGTAAGGACAGCGACGCAACGCGGCGCACCACACGAGATGCGTAAGGGGGAGTGGAGGGAAGAGACGCATCAGTGACCATGCGTAAGAAGGGTGTAATTCTTACCAGTAGTTGGTGAACATGGGTGATTGAGCAGTGCGGTCGTTGACTTGCACGATCGCTCAAGCCCATGATTTCCAGCAGTTGCCCAAAGTCCAAAGTGTTTCGTCAGAAAACTAGGCGACTTGGCGATTGTGGCATTTCACTTTCAACGGGCAGCCCGCGAGATGAAGGCTCCCCAGGTCAGGACCTTAGTTTGTGGTCATGTGCATACGTTACACATGCGGTTCATGGGCGAGCAGCAAGTCCACCAGCTTCCTCCGATCACACCGCAGCGTCTAGCGTCAACAGCAGCACACTGCTGAAACTGCGCCCGACTAGCCAATCGTGTAGATATGACACAACATGTGACAGGTGCGCCTAGGCTATCTCTACCCACACCCCTCTCGTTCGCTCTGGACAATCTACACCAACCCGACCAGTGGACTGCTGGAACTCTTGCACAAAGCTACCTGTCGCGGTCAGCGTTACAATATTGTAGTCTACTGATCTACGCCGTTGTCTTCATTTGCGGCGTTGAGGAACACTGGTGCATGGCAGAGTGGAGGGATCCACAAGCTAACGACCACAATTGCTGCAGCTGTCGATCGGCACACTGCCGCCGGGCCCATGCCTCCGGCCGGCCTGTGACTGCCGACGTGGCATCAACGATCTCCCGCTCGCGGTAGGAGATGTGTTTGTTGACTGCTGAGGACACAGACTTCTCTGCTACATCCTTGTTACTAAAGGAGTAGAGGAGGGAGAGCGCCCAAAACAGCGTGTCCATCTTTGTACTCATTACAAACGCCAATGCTAATACGAAGGCAGTTTTTGACGAAGCTGTTGGAGTAAAGCTGCGGCATGTGCTGCACACGAAGCATCCCAGCCAGTGCACACACAGCGAATTCACTTGTTTCAACGCGCACGCAGTGTCTCTCATGGTGCCAAGTGCAAAGAGATGGTTGCAGCCTGCTGTCCGCTGGAGAGGGCAGAGAGATACGGCCGACAACAACTAACACAACACAACCCACTTCGTACTTGCACCCCTGCACAGGGTCTACCTCGACAACTGAACTAGTTTCACGCTAGCAACGCTCGTCTGCCCCATGCACGGTACACAAACCAAAATTTTGGATGGGACGGCAAGAGTTTCCCGGCTGTCCTCTCTGTCTTCTCTCTCCTTGCTCTCTGGCCAAGAAACGAGCACCCACACACGTCCCATTCAAAAGGGTCGTTTTGTCGCCGTAAAAGGCACGCAGGACACAAAATCTAACGTTTACGCCAAAGAACTCACAGTTCCGGTGGATGCCGACCTTCGGCATGGTTCCAGTTGGCTGAGGCAACCAGAGAGTAAAAGGGAGGAGGGAGAGAGGGTCTCTGTGCTACCAGCCACTCGAAAATCGACAATCGCCATTTCGGGGGTTTCCATACCGCGGACCCAACATCGCTGGAGCGGGGATCGGGAGAGAAGGGTGGTACCATCTGTGGGCCCCCCTCGCCACGTCTCTCTCGTTTCTCTCCTTCCTGTCTCTGCCTGCACCGTGGTCTACGCTGAGGTCATGGCGCTGGACGCAAGGCGATTATGGACAGTCACAGGGCTTGCCCTCGTGGTGGGGACGAAGGTGAACCCTCGTTCTGAATCTGTCGCTACATTAGTAACCTCATATTTTGGTCGTGAACGCTGCTTTAGTGCATGCTTTCTGTGCGGTGTTCTCCCTCCGCTATAATAGGTGCAGTATCAACATCAGACGGTCGACAGCATCTCCATTGCTCGTTCCTCTATGTCTTTCGTGGACCAAAAGATGAATGTCCGGATGGACTTCTAGTTTAGGTAAGTTTTGACCAAGCCGTCTGCTGTTTTGTGAACGAAAGTATGTTGCAGTGTAGTTGACGCACAGCTCGTGTGGAGAGTCGTAACAGCAGTCAGACGTTATTTCGAAGACAGCGTGTCATGCTAGGAAACTGGGGATGTGTCTCACTCTATCTCTCCGAGGTGGCAGTTTCATGAGGCAGTCGTCTTTGTTGAGCCTTGAGCGCTCCGTTTGTGGTGGAGATTAAAGATAATATCTGGTGTCCAATAGCCAAGGATCATACCGTTGTATCATGTCAGTCACAGATTATGCCGCATGTTGGCGACCAACCGGTGAACCGGTCCTGTCCCCCCTGTGCTTCACCCGGATCACCAAATACTTTTCTGCAGCCAGGAGATATGGTACGGTTCTGTTCGTGGCACAGGCAACCCTTCCCACCGTACCGTTCATTTTTTCTGCGCAGACAGGTCATGTCCTGCTGCGCTTGGACGCGTTTCCCACTTGGCACTGGCGACCCTTGTGAAAAAGTGAAAAGTGGACGCGATCCGAGTCTTACAGCAGTAGCTCAGTCACACGAATCGGTCTTTCCAAACAAAGTGTGAGTAGCTTCAAAGATCGGAAGGTGGGGGGAGTTGCGATGGTTACTCTATCAACTGGATAATAACCATCAACAAATAACTTCAAATCCTATTGTCCAACCTGCTGTGCCGCCCTCAAGGGCTTCGTGCACCACCCACCGCCTTGTGCAGCAAGAGGGGCTACGGAGATGGGTCGAAACTCGGCGTCTCGCTCTTCACCCTCGCCTGCTGCCCAGCGTGCGTTGCCACTGCAAGTCGCGCGGAGAAGGCCACGCGCTGTTGATGACGCCGCTTCGTCGTCGTGGGGCTGCTACGATCGCAACGCGGGCAGAGGCGCGTCAGCGGTTGGGTCTTTGGTGCGAAGAGCGCAAATCACAATTTTACAATTTCGGCGTTGATCAGGAAGGTTTTCGGATACTTGTGTCTCTCGCATGCGATCTTTGCAACGAGAATAACCCTCTTTCAGCAACTTGCGGCCGTGATTTGTATCGACTTCGTGCAGACCACGTACAGCATTCAGAGCCTCGAATATATCACGGACGCGTTTCACCTTTGCCGGCCGTAGACAAGCACTCCACGCTACAGTATTAGTTGGCGCTCCTCTAGCGTTAACCGTGAGACCGCGCTCCCCTGCTGCCTCTTGTCCATGCATGATCCGCTTCGTTTGAATTACAAACATATCCCGTACCTTCCTTCTTGGTCACGTGTTTCACGCCGCGCTTGTATTTCTTGACTCCATTGTCCGCCCCTCGTTTCTCCCCCCGCCTCCGCTCCGCCCACAAAAGTTCGCCGTACAGCAATCGGTCGATGGGGGAGTCATGCTCCCGCCCGCGGAGAAGGCCGATGAATACGCGGCATTTTTGTCCGAGTCCATCCGAGAGCATCTGAATGACGAATGGATAGAGCAAGACTGCCACAAGGGCATTGGGGAAGAGGTGGCCAGGCTATACCTCGCCGCGTTCGAAAAGGTAACCTTGCGGTAGGTATTTCGGCCAGCCGGTGGTGTAGTACGGAATGCGACGACTTGGGAGATAAACAGGTTGGCTTGTAGGGTGCCATTGTCGATGTTGTTGTTGTCGTAGTGGTTATGTCCGTCAGTGCTTGTGTTGTCGTCGATCAGTTGTGCTCGTCGCGCCACCGTTTGTTTGCGTCTTTCGGTGCCTGGTTTGAGCCTTTCATTTTTTTTTCCCTGCCTTGCGAGGTGGGTAACCCGGGCGTATTTGAGGTAAATCTCTTGTTGACCGGGTCTCCAATTGGCCGATAGGAGGCAGTTCAAGCAACCTCACATTTTCGAGTGATATGCGATTATCGTTCATTTTCATGGCAGCGAGACCAAACACACTCCCCCAAGACACGAATGCCTTGTCCCGAGTGTCGTCGAATGGCCTTGCAGCAAGCTCGTGCCACCCCTTTCTTGATCTCACAACGTTTCAGCGAGCCCCGCTCGAGGCACAAGGCGAAAGAACTGCACGTGGAAGCGTTGACTGCGTCCTTGCCCCGACACCCCTCTAAGTCATGTGCCGACCAACCCATCGAGATGCTAACCGTCCACGAATGGAAAGAGCAGTTTTGTGCTATCTCTTGCTTGACTGCAGTTTCTCCCTCTCTCTCTCTCTCTCTCTCTCTCTCTCTCTCTGGTATTGTCCGTCGTCGTCGGCACGTTTCTTCCGCACGCGGCGGATATATCACTGAATGGCAGGGCGACACTGACATGACCACCCTGGTGCTAGACATGGGGTCAGCGATGGAGCAGTTCGACATGGGGGACGCGTTCGTTGGGGCGTGGGACATCGCCAACCTTGTGTCGGACTTCCTGATGGAGAAGATGGGAGCGGAGACGAGCGGCTGCAGCGCCAAGGCCCCCAAGACCCTGCCCTCCGCTGGGTGTGTTGTAGTTTGGCTTCAATGACGGGTCGTACAGTACTGCTGTCTGGATTGTGTCGCGAATATGTTGGCAGTACACAGCTGCATTGGCCGGACAGACACGCCGAACAAGGGCAGTTTGGTTGGCGGCACGTGAAAAGCCAAAATAGGCTTCAAGAACGGTTGTGTGCCTGATGCCTGTGCCACCAAAGAACGACCAAGGCATCTGCTGGGAACCTCATTGCTTGATTATTCCGTTGGATCATCAACCTCGCAGATGAAGCCGTGGCTAGCCGCGGACCACCTGTTTCCCACCAAACCACTATCTCCCGGCAACCTGGTTCACGCTTTTTGTGTCTGTTTGCTGTGATTTGGCTCTGTGTTGTCACTACCACCCGGGGGAACGATGACGACCGGTGCCACCGGACCGAAAATATCGTCCGCGGCCGAGGACAGCAGCGACGCGTTCTGTCTCACCTCGGACAAGGCGGAACAGATGCAGGCGGACCTAACGTCCGACTTCGCCCGGTACCGCTTCCTGCTGGACTTGATGGAGGGCAACACCGACTGGGAGCAGGCGAACACGATCATGGCCGTGTACCAGGGCTACCCGGTCGAGGGCGAGGAGGAGGAGGAGAGTGGCCGGCCGGGGGTGCGCCGGGGGTGGTCGGCCTCGTTTCCTGGAGCAACGCCCCCGGACTTGAGCTCGGCGGAGGGCTTGGTGGAGGCCTTGCAAGCAGACTTTCCGGACGACCCGGATCTGCTCGACGGGCTGGAGGTGATAGTGGAGACCGTGTACGGAGGCGAGGCGAAAAGGGTGAGAGCTGGTGTATGGGTTGGGTTACCATTCCACTGTGTGCACAGTGGGTTCGGTTACCGAAACCACAGCAGAGGTCTTAACTACCAGCTGTTTGTGGTGGCCCTCTCTCTCCCGACTGCGTGCCGCACGTGTGTGTTTTGGGACCGCGTGCCGGGATCCTTCGCGGTTGTTCAGAGGGTGTTGTCGGGGCTGTTTGCGTCAGGGACGTGAGGCGGGGTACGATTTCCTTGATCGGAGAACAGACATATGGCAGTGTTGCTTGTAGGTGTTGTCTCCCAGGCGTTAGTTGTGTTTGTGTGCAACGAAACCAAACTTCCTGTGAGTTTGCTTTGAGTCAAGTCAAAGCTGATGGTACTAAGGAAGGAAAACATGCAGGAGCGTGTCTTATAGAACAATCGTGCTGGTTGGGTAGTCTACCCGCCCCAGGCCTTATGCGTGGCTTGTTGTGTGTGTTTGTCATCCGTCCACTGTTGAATGCTCTGCCTCTGTTCACTTTCCTCGCTTTCGCTCATCGGCTATTTCGTCTCCCGCGCTGTTTGTTCGCGTGCTCGTTCTCGCGAACGCACCGCATTTCCTCCTGCTTGCTTTTGCTGGCTGGTGCAGTTGCACCAAGGTGACCCCGACAACGGGGTCCCTCCCGAACCGCTGTACTTGAGACGATCGACCTTGTGCAAGTGGCTCTACCTCGTGGGGTTTCTGTCGGACGACATCAAGAGAGCACCGGACGATCCGGAGCAGCTCGCAGAACTTATTTCGGGGAGGGCGCGGTTGAAACATCAAAAGAAATAAGGAGCAGTCGGTGTTGCACGGCTTGGGGGAACGTAAACATGTCGCTTTTTCGACTGTCCCGAGGGGAGACTACGAGTGGTGGACAGTGGTACAAGCCGGAACGAGTATTGAAAAGAACGAGAGGAGAGATCCAGCGATATAGGTAGTCCACCAGATGTCGTCCACATAGAGAAGAAGCACAACGGGACGGACACCATACCCGTTCTTGAGGGGCCGAAGAGCTGCACATGAGGAAATGTTGAGGCGCTCGGAGGTTTATGATGCTACGGGGGAGGAGGAAATTCTTCCTGGGGCTGCTTTGGACTACGTTTCTTCTTCTCGCCTAAATCTGGAAAAGCAGTTGCAATGGGAGATCTTGATTCTCAAAGTTGAGGTTGGTTGATTCTTAGACCCCGTGAGAAAGACTGCTACGCGACGGCAGCAGGACTGAGAGAGACAAGAGTACGGGTCCCTCCTGCACCGCGCTATGTGGGGTGGGGGCCCCGCTCACGGGCCTCTCCCCAGTCCCCGGCGCCCCTTCGTTTTTAGCACGAGACAGCATAGACGGAGCGAGAGGTTTACACACGCTGCACCAGATTTACGACAACAGCAGTCAGTGACATGCCCAGGCAGCGAGGCAGAGAAACGAGTCCGTCTATCCGGACTAATGTAGAAACACGTAAGAAAGACTACAATTTGCGCAGTTGCAATTGGTTCTGTGTCACAGCCGTTTCAAAACGCCACCACCACCACCACCACCAGAAGAAGAGATTGATTTACAAGGGCAACCGACTCTCGCTGTGATGGGCAGGAAGGTAGAGATCGGGGATCCGGTCTTTTTCCCTTACAAAGGTTTTCCCATGCTTTGTGCCCAGCGTTGACTTCGACACACAGGGTCAGACCGAAAACCTAACAAGTTCTCCACAGAAGTTCAGTTTGCGACAAAACCTATACACACAAGAGTGCGCCAACAGACGCGGACAAGTGATGCGAGAATTTTTTTTTAAAGCCTGACGCAATCCATTCTAGACTCTGTCAACTCCCCAGCAACAGCACCAACGTAAAATAATTAAATTTTTTACTTGGTCTGACAACCCTCAAGGCCTTTCGGGTAGTTCCCACCGAAGCAACCACCGCCCCGCAGAGTACCAGGGTCAATCTCACAGGGATGGATGCCAATCGATATGTATGTGCCGTTGGTCACGTGGCTCTCGTTTCGCTATAGGATAGGAGAAAATCGCCGTCTATCGTTGTATAGAATAATGGTGCTTGAAGAGGGACCGACCACTCGAGTTGATGCTAGCCAGCAACATACTTCGCCTCTGATCCCCGCTCTGGTCCAGCCGACCTGATGAAATATACCGCACAAGAACGCCAGTTTGGGCGCAACCAAGTGGAATGATACGGTGAGAACAACGTGCAACAACAGCAACAACAGCGGTCCGAAGCATCGCACCAGGACCCGTCACAAAAGAATCGAGCAACTTGGAGTACAGGACCTCGCCAAAAAATAATCAAGCAACAACTGCGTCGTGATGCAGTGACATAACGTCATGCTTGTTGTCTGCGTGTTTCCCTTTAATATTAAAGTGATCGCTGGTGATCAACCTAGACTATCTATCAGGAATTGCGGTTGTCTGCATATGCTTCAACACCGCACGTTCTGCACTCACATCCATCCCTGATGTTCTGGTTGTTTGCGCGCTCGTTTTTCGGTAGCATCGCGCTCTCATACGGACGTGAGTCAGCGTTTTCAGCAAGAAGAAGAGAGTAACCCTAGATGTACTCTTCAACTTCAGCAAGTCATCATTGAAAACTGGTGCACATGTCACCAAGGCACCTTTATCTAGAGCAAGCGTTCATCTTCCCTGGCCTCCACCTTCCAAGCAGTATATATAGTCGCATCCATCTCTTACAGCATACCATATCCGTACCATGGGTGGGCAATAAATTCTTACGATGGACGGAGTCAGAGCTGTAGATGGTGATTTACAGGCGTGTGTGCGGTCGACAGCAGTCGGACGAGAGAGAGACCGTTTGTTGACCCGCTTGCTCCTCCTCCTTGCCAGATACTGCTGTAGAAACGTTGTGGTGCAGGGGTTCCAAACGGTGCTCAATTTCTTACGTAGATTTTGAGCGTTTTATGTCAAGTTCTAATGAGCATGCATGTGTGTTTTATTGTTATTAGCATCGACTGCGCTAACCGGCTGACCAATGAAAATACGTCAGTCTCAGTGCGGGTGAAAACCAAGAACACTTCTAAATGCCATTTAAATGGGACCCCGTGAGGGGGCGGCTGAGTGTGTGTGTGTGTTTTCGAGTGCGGGGGCTTTTTCTGTATCTAAATAGTCTATCACTTGCAGTATGTCAACCCAACGAGATACTAGCCGACCGCTGCTGTATAGACGCCTGCCGTCACTAGTCTACCAAACAAGCAGTTACAACTCGGTTGCAGAGCCACGTCACTGCGCCCTCTGCCCCCTCTTGTACCTTCTTGCTGGCCTGCTTTCAGGTCTGGGTGGATTCAGGCCGCTCTTGGGTCGCTCGTTGTCAATCGTCCCGGTCGTATGTGCAGAACTCCGCCTTCTTGGTGTGTGTATTTCGTTGTAGGGCTGACGTAAGATCTTCTTGCAGGGAGTGGCAGATGGTGTGGACATTCGAGCATCCTTAGCGCGTTTCGCTCAAGTCTTCCTAGCACAGCTTCCCGTCGCGACATCTGTGTCGTTCTTCTACATGTGCAGCCTGGTTGGGGCGCCAGGCGCGCCGCTTGCTGCCATAAACCATTTCTCCCTTCCGTCCCATAGTTGCTTCTTCTGTGCGCTACTCTCTCTTTCTCTCTCCCTCCGCAGACATCGCCAGAAGTCAATGCAGACATCGCTACTTGTAGGTCCTCAGTTTACTCTCACCCGTTCGGCCGCGGTGACGAGATTGCCACTGTTCATTCCCCCTTTGCTTGGATCTGATCTGGTATGGCAGGTGAGTACACTTCGTAGATCATGTGTGCTCATGTATGTGCCACACACAGGATCCTGGATCACGGATCCAGCCAAAGAATATGACTCTTATAAAACCAGGTTTTATAAGAGTCATATTCTTTGGATCCAGCTTCAGCTCTCACGGGGGGCCTCTAGCTGAGCAAACAACACGGTACGTGTATCTTCGCGCCAAATCCTGTAATCCTGTCACCAAAAAATCGATCACCTGTCAGCCTACAAATACCATTTTTCTAGAGAAGCTCCATATTCGTTATGGAGTTCGACAGCCTCGCCTTCAGCGCGACGCGCTTGGCGCCGGCGAAGGAGGACCGTGTCTACTGCCCCGCGTGCCAAGATGTCTGTGAGCCCGAGCCTTCGACCGGCAGCAGTGGCGGCGGCGGCGGCACCCGGCCCCCTCCAACTTGCCCCATCTGTAGCGAAAAATGTATCGTTCGACCGTCTGCTGCTGCCTCGGAGGAGCGCGAGGTGAGAGCAGAGAGAGCAGCGGCACCGCCCGTGCATTCGGCCTACCGCGGAAGGGATGTGTGTGAGAGACGCGTGCTTGCTGCGCTGCAGGCTTACTGCCACCTGGGTGTGTGTAACATCTCTGATAACGCGCCACATATATGCATACCAGCAGCGGAGAGTGAACAGCAGCAGCTTTTGGATATCAACAATTTGTTGCACCCGAAAAAATTTCTTGCGCATGATTTCCTTCCGGGCGGCTGTGTCTCTCCGTCCCAGTGTTTTCTCTCCCAGGCCGTACACACAGCAGTGGCATTGTTGTGTTGAAGTCACAGCTGCAGCAGCAGCAGTAGCTCAAGATCCCGAACTCATCAGCCATCGGACACAACAACCCCTTGTTGCGCTTCTTCTCGCCCCGCACTTTGTCCCCGCCGCGATTTTTTTCTTACATCGCCCCCTTCCCTTCCTTCCCTGGCTGGATCCATGCCAATCCACGACTTCTATTTCCACGATCAGCCCACGACCTCTCCAGATCATCATCAACCAACGGGCGCTTCCGTCGACCCCACTGCTGCTGCCGTGGCGCCGGCGCCGGCGGCAACAACAACACCTCCTCCACGGCGGCCCATGGCCGCTCCTGAGACGCCGCCGCCGACGCGGCGAGCACAGGCGAGCGAGCGCGTGGCGCGGGAAGTTTTGAACTTCATGGCGGCCATCGAGAGGGGGGAGTCCCTGGCGGTGGAGTTACCGTTACCGCCAGGAGCGGTAGGGCTAGGAGGCGCTGTTGGTACGAACGGCGGCGGTGGGGGTGGGCGCGCGGCTCCTGCGCTGGAGCAGGTGGTAAAGGACCTCCCGCGGATACAGGTGCACATATGCGTGTCGCGTGAGTGCGCTGGACCTACGGTAACCTCGTTCAGTAATCAACCACATATCGAACTGCGCTGTAACTTCGTAACTTCGCGAGCCAGCCAGCAGGGGGGCTGTGCAAGCTTGATCAGTTCATTGTTATTTCCAGATAAACAGCTCTCATTCTGTCCGCGATGCATGCACCAGTGTATGTGTTGGTCCTAAAGCCGGGAGATCTGCGCACTTTCGAGTTTGGACTGCTGTGTGCCCACACCACCTGCACCTGCGGTCTCGTCGCGACGGTGTCACCGTCTTGTCTCGTATAGTCTAGGCCTTGCCGATAAATAATCCCGATCAATACCAGCTGATCAATACCCCCACGGTCCACAGATGTTCTCGGAACAGCAACAGAGTCCGTTCATCTTCGTCTGCAACAAGCTGGGGGGAGGGGGGAGGTGTAAACCGCGGGGTGATGTGCATGACTTTGTTAGAACCCAGTGTTTGAGTACACCAACAATAGTGGTACCACATCACAGGGAGCGTCGACCCTCTGATAATAAAGTACTGCTGCATACCTGTATGTGTCTCTATCGCCCACTTTGCTTTCGAAGAGCACGAAGTAACGCAGCAGCAGTGCGTGTCTTGACACACGACCATGATCGTAGATGTCATTCCCCCCAGCAGCGATCTTGGATTTGCATACATGCATGGTCTACTGCTGTGCTGCTGTATAAGCGCTTGAATTCTGCATTTCACCCACCCGCAACACGCAGAACTACGTCTCGGTTTCCATTTGAACGGCTTTCCTCGCCATCTCCACTCCCTCTTTTCGCGTGTTTCGCTCAACTATGATAGTCCCCCTGTCCCCTGTCCCCTCTCACTTTTCTGCCAAGAAATCACCCCCTCGTCCCTCCTCACATACACCCCGATGCCGTTCGCGCGTGTTCCAATTTCCATCATAATAAATCGGTGCATAACCTAGATCAGTACGGACGGATGAAGGTACTGAGTAGAGAGAACGGGACGAACGGTTCCAAATGTGGAGACAGCAACAACAGCAACATGATCTAACAACGGGGGGTCTTGTGGCCGCGGCGCGTGCTTTTTTGTTGTTGTTGTTTGGTTGTTTGGTTGGACCAGGTGGAAGAAAACAGCTGGGTGCTCCACCAGACGGTCCTTCGCCTGACTGGGGGGGGCGCGGGTTCCGAGCTGTCCATCGAGGCCGTCTTCGCGCCATTCTCGCCGCCGCCGTCAGAGAAGGTGCTCGGGCCGGTGGTGTTGTCGGTGCCGCCGACGGCAGACAAGGACCTCGAGAACGAAGCAGACGTCGAGGGAAGGTATGTATGTACCAGTAGCGTTCGCAGCGTTTTTCGTTTTAACAAGTAGCAGAATATTATGTTGGATAAAGCGGTTCGTACAGACCGGACCCAGAGTCAAAATCGTAGAAGGTAGGCTTCGCAGCGTTTTGAGTGAACATGTTGGATAAAGAACGCAATCGGGGGAAGTTGGGTGAGGCAGGTGGTGTCTCAGTTCTTTTTCATCACTACTGCCGTTGTCGAGCAGGTTGTTATTTTATGCTGTAGTTTAGTCTAGGATCCACAGCTTGTTTGTTAACCTGTACACGTATTCCATTATTCTTGGTGAAAACGTGAGCCGTTGCTTCATAGCGAAACATGGCCCCGTACTGCTGTATGCAAGTGTGACTAATAGCATTCCAAAAACCAAGAACAAGTCCATAACTTAATGAAACCCATTGTCTATTCGCCGATCGTGAAGCAAAAGCGCCACTGCTGTCCGCAACAAGGGTTGTCCACGATTGCCTAATTATTGGCCACATAACTCCGAGCGGTAAATGATTCACGGGGGATGTTTAGGGATACGACGTGTGCTCGCACGGTGTTTCCCCGATTCGGGGATGTTCTCTTGATGTTCGGCCCTCTCACGGGTGGTCTCCGCGAAGCAAAATATCGAGCAATGCCCACTTTCTTTTGTGGGTATACCTACCTACCTACCTTTGTCCATTCCCTTTGAAATACATATCCTCACACACACACACACAATCCAAAACGTACGCGTATCCAAAGCAGCAGCAGCCGTGGTAAACACGTGCAGTTTGCTTCTGTTATTGCTACGGTATCTGTCTTTGATCCGGAGAGTAGCGCAGGCTCCCCCATGACGCTCGGTCACAGGGTCCCAGATCGTGGCCTATAGAAGCAGTTTGTGTTTGACTTCACTAAGACTGACGTCATTTCATTTTAGCCGGTTAACGCGGTCGATGCTAGTAAGAAACACACACACACACTCACGCTCCCGAATCCAGGCTCACCCCCCCCCCCCCCCCCCCCCCAC